ATAAAGGTAGTTTTATTTTCATAATCTTTATTGCTTTTGAATTAAGCCTATATGAATATGTTTTAATGTAATTCCTTATTTATTAAGAAAATAATTAATAAAAAGTGCAAACATAGGTGGGAAATTCAAAGTTGAAACGAACACAAAAAGCACCAAATTTAAACCACAGTTTGTCAATCGCTTGACCAATTACGGTCAGGGCTACCAATCTCATAAAAATCTGATTCTTTCAAATCCTGATCAATTTCGGTAGCATCGATCATTTTGTCGGATACATACATTATAGCGAGTTAAAAATCAACAATGTGCCTAGCTAAAAGTGCAAAACCGTGGCAATGTATAATCATTTAATTTATCATAAATTATTTCATTCACAATATGTATTTGAAGAGAAACCTAGCGTTTTCTACGTAAAGTGCTAACATTTATTCAGATCCATAATATTTATTTACGACTAATTTTTATTGCTTTTATTGATGAGGTCCGATATCATGAAGACGTGAAAAACATAAATAGAAAAAAAATTTTTGTGTAAAATTTATAAATAATAATAATTAATTATATTAAAAATATCACAAAAATTAGGCAAGAAAAAATATATAATGAATTATCATGTCTAATGAGCGCTAACCTACTATGAGCGGTAAATAAAGATTAAAAAAATAGTAATACTGGTTAAAGATTAAAAATTAAAAAGCTAATATATGAAATAAAAAAAAATGGCATTTCCCTTTTCAGGAACAACTACGAACTCAACAAACTCTAATTCAAAGTAATTTTTTTTTGATTGGCAAGATATTAATTTTCAAGCTTATTTATATTGTATGTGAGAATCAAACGTGAGTCTACAGTTTAAAAAAATATTAAAATAAAGTATTCAATGAATAATTTAATAAAAAATATTATTAATTAATTAATAATTGATGTTTGAATAATTGATTTAAATATAAGATTCGTAAATTATTATAATTTTAATACATACAAATCTAAATTTGAAGATTTATTATTAAAAAAAACTTTCTTCTAAAGGTGAAATTATTGTAACATAATAATTTTCATAAATAAATGCCCAAGAATCTCAGAATCTTTGGGTTTCATTGATACTACTCTATTCAATCCCCTGGGATGAATCCCACTATCACCACATCTAAAGTATGTAATAATAACCGCTACCAACGTATAATTGATTGATTTTTTCTACAAAGTTGCATCCTAAATTACGTATTGCTTTTGAATCGCCTACAAAGCGGTAGAAGACAGCTATTTTGGACGTATAGAAGGATATTAATATTTTTCTATATATTTATTGCGAGTACAATCTAAGTGAAAGCTAATGTGAACCTTAGTAACTTAATAATAAGTATTCAATTCCTTCGTATTACTTAGCATAATATTAAGGATATTTTATGTCAACGTTCAAAATTACAATTTGGTTTTCATTCTTACAAATTATTATTTTTTTACTATACTTAAAAAAAATAAAAAAAAAAATTGTTTTGCTATCTCTCAATTTTCAATATTTGGGATTTCGGAATTAAAATATTATTAATTTCACAAATATTTCTATAATTGAAGCAGAAGCCGTTACGCAAAATTCAAATCGTGTCCAAAATTATTTCTACTTATATAACATTATGACTGTCTCTTTACCAATTACAAAACTTTCAAAGTTTTTTTAATAAAAAAAAACTTTTTTTATTCTTCATAGTTACATAGTTACATGCAAACAGACGTAAGTAAGTATAAATCTGTTGAATAGACAACATATTTATTTACTATATACTGTATATTGGCGATAATTAGATTCTCCTATTGACTGTTTTTGAAATTAACGACGGCAGTTCAGAGTACTTAGAGATTCAGCCCTTTTCAACGTCCCACTGCTAGTGGTAGGTCTCCCTTTAATACGATCAGGCCATAGTCCACCACGCTGGCCAAGTGCCGGTTGGTGGACTGGACTTCACATGTCTTGAAAACTTGCTAGGTTCTCTCAGACATGCAGGTTTCCTCACGATGTTTTCCATCACCGTTAAGACAAGTGGCAATCATGTTGGAAAATGGAAATATCAGAGGCGCGAGATCCGAGAAGTGAACCCGCTTCACTCGGTTTCACAAGCGAGCGCATTACCACTGGGCTACCACTGTCTCGACACCTCACAGTACTTATTACTTTAAAATAACAGTTCCTTTTGTTCCTCTTGGGTCAATATTTTGATGTGAACTTTTATAAACATTTTATAACAAAATATTTAGTGACTATATAGTGAGTGTCGCAGTTAGGGTTTATGCACACTGGGAATTTAATCCGCTGTTAATGCCCTTCCTAACGCGCAAAACGCACTGTTGATATTAATTTCACGCACGTTTGTATCCATAGAAACGTTAATCTGAATTATTTAAGTTCAATGGAGTCTCAAATTCAAGTTTCAGTCTGCAATTTGAAACTTTGTGTACTTTTATGTGCAAAATACGTGTAATGTACGCGCACTAATGGTACGAACGTCGTCAACGCGTTTATAAAGCGTAGTGTGAAAAGGCCCTTAGTCTAACTTACCGGTACAGTACCTACTTATCACCAATAAATCCCAATATTAATTTAAAATTTTAAGGAACCCAATTCTCTCACTTTTTAAAAGTTTAAATATTAAACGAATATATTAGTATAACGCAACGCTTACGTATGTTACGTATCAAATCTTTGAAATTGACCTAAATTATTATTTCTAATGATTATTTCTAATATTTAGTAATGTCACATGAAAAATCTTTATATATTTTTGTCGTTTGCAAGATTTTAAAGTGATGTTATTGGTGGATCCCATGAAGCTACACATTTAGTGTTTCTTACTAGTGGTAGAAATTTGACATAAATGTGAAAGTGTGTTTGTTTGTCCTTCTTTCACGTCGAAATAGAGCGACGAATTGGCGTGATTTTTTGTGTGGTCGATCTCTACACATTGGAGGATTTTTTTTCCGCGGGAGATTATCTTATTCACAATACATTTCGTCCATAGTAAGAAACAAATCTATCCCACGGGAACCGTTTATTCTTCCGGGATAAAAAGTAGCCTATGTGCTATTCTATCTCTGTGCCAAATTTCATCCAGATTCTTTCCGTTCAGTCTATCTATTCCATATTAACCGTTAAAACGTAGCGGACGAACCCGAGCAAAGGGTGAGTCGCTAGTAATTTATATAGAGCTTATGCCAAAAGCCTATCTCTAGTAAGGAACCACCGACCAATAAGTTATTGAGATCCACTGTAACTCGTTATTAAGTCCCATATAATTCTTGAAGCACATTATATATTTTAAGTTTTTATTTATTTTGTATTATTTAATTTCATTGATAAAAAATAAAATTATCTTTTTGAATTTTTTTGCGAATTTATTTCGATTTTTTTTTTTTGGTTACTGACGTTTCGAATACTTCACAGCAATCATGGTCGCGGGAGATTTATATAAAATTAAATTATACGTTAAAATATGTACTTTTTAACGCATCGAGCGTAAGACTTTTAATTTCAATTAGTAAATAATTAATATTCGAAATAAATAATTTGTACTTTCAATAAATTGCTGAACGCACGAAAAAAAAACAAGAGAAATATGTCATTTTGACATAGTTTATATTTGTCGTTTGCAAATGAATTGCAAGCAGTAATTCAGATTGAGAATATCCTCTTTGTATGAAGTCGGATAAAATATTTGAATACCTCAATTTATTTTAGATCAAATTAAAAATATAAAAAAAATATTTAGAAAAAATGTAACTCAAACGGTGTCAGCTTTTTGTTTATACACGAAATATATTGTAGCTGTAAGCAAAAAACTATCACCATTTTAGTTTAACTTATTTAATACTTTATTTAACAGCTTTAAGATTCAATATTGTATAACAGGAGTTTCTACTGGTTATATGTCCTCAGAATAGACAATTATATAGACAGAGTCCGGCAAAACAAATGTCAAAGCCAAAAACAGTAGCGTGATTTGCTGTTTATGCTACCATTTTCGTTCTTTGTATTAGTTTTTAACTTATAATTTTTGAGAGGAAAATATGAATAATAAAAATAATACTATATTCTTTTATACTCTACAAGCATTAGTTGTCTTCCCTTTGAGAACTAAAAATTAAATTATTTAAATTAACAAAACTAATTACATTTAAAATTAGTGAATTTAGTTTTTTTTCTTAATTACTTGTGTTAATTATTTGTATTCATTAAAATTTATTCACTTATAACAGCAATGACTTTTCTTTTCATATTTACATACTGCTTTAAAACATTATATGCAAAATTTGTTTTAAATATTTAGCTTCATGTTTAGCTTCTACTACACTCTACCTATATTATTCCTTAGTCTGAGTACATGTTATATATTTAGATTCATTGGTGTTTTTGATCTTCTCTAAACCAGATTCTTATTGAAACCTTATAAAACATTGACTTCATAATTTAGCCAAAATTGATTGCAAAATTTCAAATAGCTCATTTTAAATGATAATTATCATTAAGGTATTTTTATAGGTAGGTTCAGTACAATAGTGGCCTAACTTTGAAAGGATTTTTTAATAAAAAAAAAATAGCAATATAGATATACCGTAATTAATCTTGTAAATTAATTAAAAAAAATAAATTAATACACATATATAATTCAAAATTAATGGTGCACAATATAACTGGAATATAAGAATAGAAGATACTTATACACCAACATCATTACGCACCAATACTTTGAAAAAAAAGGGACGACGTGTGACAAAGGCAGCTTCTACTGAAAACAAACTTTTGTGCAACATTAAAAAAAATTCGAGTTAAGCCACTTTTACACTAATCTAACCAAACTTCAGAATGGTCACAAAACATCATCATCGCAACATAGAACAGCCCTCAACTTTTACACAGACACCCCTCACCCCAGAAAGATGAGGGGTCCGACACCCCTCCCCCCCTCACTCCACAAACACCAGGGGTTCCCCCATAGGTCGGGAGTTCAGTACCTGGCGATGGGCGAGTGCGGCGAGGGTGGCGCGCGCGCCACGCCCGCTAGCCGCTCGCACACCGCCTCCAGCTGCGCGTCCAGCATTAGCGAAGCTATCTGGTCGTCCGTCAGCATTTCCACACTGAAATGGTTTAAAATATGTAATATGTATAATATTATAAAAAAATATTTTGAACAGCAATATTAGCTATTTTTGGATGACGTTTTATGACTACTATTTCTTTATGCAAATAACTGATTTGAATATTACTTCAAATGTTATTTAAATAAAATCAGTGAAAATGTTTGATGTTGGAATTGACGCCTAGATATGCTTTTATATCTCATAATTAAAAGAATTAAAGCGAGGTACCTGGCGAGACTGTCAGTGTCGGAGTACCGCTCGTCGGAGGCGGAGGAGGCGGCGTCGGGCGCAGGCGAGCGGCGCGGCGTGCGCGGGGCGGAGCCCGAGCCGCGGCGCTCCCCGAACAGGGACAGCCCTGGGTGATAACATATTATCTTTATTTATATATCCATGGTAAAAATAAATGTGAAATCATTTTAAATAAAACTATCTTTGCGGATTTTTGGTGTTTGGTTCACAGTATGCTTTACCGCGCACATGATCACGGAAGAGACTAATATTGTACTGATTTAAAATAAATTGGACTTTAATATCTCCCGTGCTGGCTAATCTCAATGAGATTGGCCGCCGTGGCCGGAATCGGTCAGGAGGACATTATAATTATTATTTAAAATTTAAATTAATATGTTTCTTTGACAAAAAGAAAGTAAGAATAATGAAGAAAAGAGTTACAAACACTCACCCTGGAACATCTCCTTAACCTTCTCCCCCGTATCATGCAGTAGAGCATCCAGGCTCTGTCTCCTGCCACGTTCCAATTCAGCCCTGATGGCTGCACTCCGGTCCCCTGATCTGATGATAAGACAATATACATCAACAATGACCTTTAAATTATCCTACTACTGCTAGTAGTATATTTTTTACTTTGAAGCCATTAACAAGAAAATTGAATTGAATTGATTTTTTTTTACTATCTTTGTAGTTACTTCCTTTATCCTTACTATTATAGATTTACTTAATTCCTAAAATAATATTATGTTAAATATTATACTGTATTAATTTATGACAGTAAATGATTTTTATTTTTATTATTATTATTAAAAATAAGTTTTTTCAATCAAATTAATGTTCAAATATATGCTAATAGTATACCAATATATTTGACACAATATCATAATATAAAAGGTGTTCTATACTTGAAGATAAGCGACAATAGAGTAAATTAATATTAAAAAAAAAAACATTTTCTAAGACAAGCTTTTACATATATCATATAAATAGTATAATATAAGAAATCGATTTAATTTAAAATTTATTTATCCATATTCTTCTCAGCAAACCCTTTCATTTGATCCATATCATGGGGGTGCATAAAAAAATACATAGTCCGCCATCGTAGGGAGTTCGCCATATTGGATTTAGAATGACGTCACTTAGCTAACCATGCATAAGCTAAATTTCAGCTCAATCGGTCGAGGATACCTGTTTTAAAATTCAGTTGCTAGATTTGACCCGAACAAACATACAGACCTAGCAAGCTAAATAAATAAAAAAGAGCTTGTAAAAAAAGGTACCTGATGATGCGTCTGGGGGATGCTGCAGACACCTTGGACTCCAGCGGACTGGGAGGCGACGACTTCTCCGGCGTTGAGCGCGGCCGCAGAGAGCACTTCTCGAAGCTTATCTATTGCGAGATTATATTTTGAATAGTTAAAATTGTTTTTGATATAAAAAAATCGTTTAGAAATTATATTATTCTATCCTTCGGGGTGGATTTTTTTACAATGTGGTCCCATAAATGTTTTTGACATTTATTTATAGTTTCATATTTTTTTTGATATTTAAGGTTTCCGCTAAATATATTTTTGATATATATATGTAGTCCCATAATTTTTATCAATCTCCCATAATTATGGGTTTCCATACTTTTTTTAACATTTATATGTAATACCATAATTTTTATGATTTTATATAGGGTCTTTGAATCATAACTTAATTATTAGAAAAAGGACGATACAAATTCAAGCATCATTGGCGAAGACATCGCGTAGTTGGAGAAAATATATATTATATATAGCTATATTGAGTATATCTTCTTTTTTCAAGTTACCCAAAAACCTTTTTACTTCTTGGCCTGAACCAAAACACACACCATGTTAAAAATGAGATTCGAGCATAAAAAAGAGGTGCTTCACTTGGAGTTTTTTATAAGAGCACTTCCAATGTTAATATCTTGAATAAGTGGCCTGCTGAAGGCAGTTCTGCTGAGAAGAGCTCACGAGAAACTTAACTATTTATGAGTGTTATTTTAAAAAGCCATGCACCTCCTCTGTTTGCGTACTTACCGTACTGCGGTGCTTCGACAAAAATCTATTACGAGTAATTTCTTCTATACATATAATAAAATTGTTACTAAGGCGAATCTTTACATTAAATATTTTAAGGAAATTCTTGTTGAAATAGACATTATTATCGATACAGAGGCCAAATCTATAGTTTTTAGAATTTTTGTGTCTGTCTGTAACCGCATCAAAGAAAAACCATTGGAGGGATTTTGTTGAAATTTGGTATGGTGATAGCTGGTTATCCGGGTCAACATATATACGGATACTTTTTACCACGGGAAAATGTCTAATTTCTGAGAAAAAATACAAAAACTGCAATGTATAAGAGTATACTAATTTATAAAACCTAAGAAATTGGTTTTTGGTCATTTGAACGCGGGCGGAGCCGCGGGCAATGCTAGTAATTTATATGATTATGCTAATGAAGATTTTGTAAGAGAAATTTTATTTATGGGCCCTTTTTAGTAGGTATTTACAATGTACTTACAAAATACAAAGTACTTACAATGTAAAAGAGCGTCCATCTTATAGATCCAGGGAGTACAAATTTAAAACACTATATTTCCAGTGGACTAGATTAGGTCCATATCGATCCATGTCTCAGCATCGCTGTGGTCTCGTTGTCATTGTTACTGCGAGCGTATAATTCTTTTAGTTTCACTCACTTTAGACTGTGTTTATTGTTGACTGGTCCATCGGTCCATATCTAGGGGATGGTGATAGTAATAATATAATCCACCCACCTCCTCCGGGCTAGAGTAGTCCAGGTCTATCTCGGTCCACGTGTCCACGTCGCTGCGGTCCACGCGGCGCAGCCACTCGCGCACGTTGTCGTCACTACTGCGAGCGCACAGCTCTTCTAGAGTTTCACTCGCGTTGGACTCGCTTGCTGTGTCTGTTGTTGACTGGTCCATGTCTGGAAGGTATTTTTAGTTATCAAATAATTGTTATTGTATACGACGTCGTTTGTAGGATATAATTGCCTATAATATGTAAATCGGACATAGGTATGCTTTGCGTTATTGTTATACAAAAACTTAAGATATACAATTAGCGTTTTAAAAGTGACCTCAAGAAAAGCGCAAGTTTTTTATATTTCTTTTGTTTATTGTTTTTCAGATGACAAAATAAAAAGCACGTTGTTTCGTTTAAAAAAGTACTTTATTTGGTGTGCGTAAGTTCGAATTTGTGTTTAGACAATTAGAACTTTAGATTGTTGTAGCTATCTGTAGTTTATGAAATCCTATGTCTATCTATTAAAAGGTCAACTTTAAAAAAAAAGTATATTATAATATATTTTTTCACATCTTAACTAAGTACTAACCATTTCTAGCGGACTGTCGTCTTGACCTATGACGGTGTATCTCATCAGATATCCTCTCCAGGTTCCTTAAAGCCGAGGAGTACTTCTGCTTGGCTTCAGCCACCTGCTCTTCCAGGGTTTGGATTCTTGCCTTCTGGACCTCTAAGGCCGCGTTGATACGAGCTTTCTCTTCAAAATATGGTCTGAAATGGTGTGGGACCATGCACTGATATTTTAGGCTAATATTTATTATATATAAATAATAACTGTTCATATGGAAACAAGTTTTATGGAGATGAATTTGGCTGATAGGTTTTTATAAATTACCTACTAGCGTTTTCCCGCGGCTCCGCGCGCGTAATTCATTTATGTATTACAATTTCTTTAAAAATTATAGACTGTGTATATTTTAATTTTTAAACTATATTACTGTAAAGTGTCATCTTAATCCGTTCAGTAATGATTGCGTTAAAGAGAAACAAACATACATCCATCCTCACAAACTTTCGCGTTTACAATACAAGTAGGATTTTTAGTTTTTTAAATCAGTCCAGCTGTTATTTTATAAGCTTTTATGGTATTTTTTTTAAATTATCAAGTTATTTTATCATAATTTATAGAAGCAAATACGATAATTTACTAAAAAAACCTTCCATTAAACCATAACCATGCTATTGTGAGTATCAAAGTGCAAAATAAATTGTGAATTAGAAAATATAAAAGGAAAAATCATGTACCAAAAGTGATGCGATGCGGCTGCGTGTCTGGAAAGAGATGTGCAAACTAAACAAGCAAAGTAATATATTAGCTTAGGAATAAGAGTTAGTTTTAGCTCTAAAATATTAAAAGAATATAAGATATTTAAATAGCTTAATCAAGCAAATCACACTACTGTCGGACTACTAAAAAATTGCATGTGGTATAGAATATGTATAGTGTATGTATGTATGTTCGTTTGTTATTTTTTCACTTTGAAACTGCTGGACGGATTTAGATGAAATTTACTATACAGATAGACTAAGACATTGAGTAGCACATAGGCTACAATTTGTAATAAAAATTGACTAAAGATGGCGCTGATCGTTTGCCAAAAGATGAATACATAAATACATATTAAATATATAGAAAAAGGTCGATGTTTTGTATGTACTGCAAAAGGCACCTGGAGACGAGGCTGATTGAATGGAGGACAAGTCGTTAGTCATTACTTTCATAAAGGAATAAAGAGGCAAAATTACAATATTTAAAAAGCTGTCAAATTATTCAAAGTTTAGATTATAATTAAGAAATGTGTGTGCAAAAGCAGTATGTACATATGCTAGTGTCCTAAAAAAAGGATTTATTTGATACTTATTTACTTGATTGGATGGGTCATCTAACTCTACATACATACACATACTCAACAAATATCTTTTCCCACTAGTTTCAGAGATAGCAGCGTGTGACATACGGACAGACAAACAGATACGCGAAGATCCTATAAGGATTTTGCGTCGTTAAGTTAGTTTTTAGTTAAAAAGTTAAAAAGTGGATTTTTCATCACTTATTTAAAGTTGATCAAAAATTTTAAAGAAAGAGAATAGGAAAAGAAACGATTGCAATTAAATAATAGTAATGTACTTAAGCCAACCTCCACTGAGACTAGCCATCTGCGCAGGAGATATTATAGTGCAGCGCGTGTACGCGCAGACACAACGTGCACTCTCTATTCCTGTCACTCTCATACTCCGATGGGACGACAATTCGTCACTCACTATCATCGATCAAAGAAGTACTAGATACACAATCAGCGATAAAAAATGTTCTCACCGAATGAGCGCTCATTTGAGCGCACTTTTAATATATTTTTTGTGAAAACAACTTTAGCCATTACATTTAAGGTTCAATTTACATTGTTGTATATTTACTTCAACTATAATAATTACCTAAACACAATTGCTGACAGTTTTAAGATAACTTTTGCATGGGATTGTGTATCTAGTACATTTTTGATCGATGCTTCCTGTGATGGATTAGGCTCAGACCGACGCGACTCTCCAAGGCACGTTAGACTCAGTGACATTGATCGAAATAGATAGAATATGACATTATTATTAAATTTAAATAATAGCAAATGTAATATTGCTATTATTTAAATTATATATATATATATATATATATATATATATATATATATATATATAAACTCTTTTTAAAATATATACATACAAGTCACGTGACCTGGCCAAGACAATAGAAGACAACGCTAAGGCTACATTAGGATACAAAACAAACACGTCAATTTGTTTGTATGTATAGCTTTAAGCTTAATATTAATAGAACTGTGTCAGTAAAATAGAAAAAAATGAAAATTACTATTTTCATAAAAAAATACTGAAGTCTAGAATAAAAAAATAATATTCCAATCTAGACACATGAAGCCAAAACAAATACTACTAAAGGAAACATTACAGGTCTAATATAGAGGAGGAAGGGGCTGTCTATGAATGACTAACAAAGCAAATCCACCTACCAATCTCAGACTAAACAATTATATAGACGGAGTCCGCCAAAATAAATGTCAAAATAAAAAATAGTAGCGTAATTTGTTGTTTATGCTACTATACTCGATCTTGCCGTACATATAGTTTACTTTCTTTAATGAGTAAAGGTATATATATATATATGTATGTATTAGTTAAAATACTAGCGACTCACCCTCGATTCGCTCGGGTACGTTTTAACGGTTAGTATGAAGTACAAATCTTTGAATTTCTCGGCATGTACTATACATATAAACATTCCTCCTGAATCATTCTATCTATTAAAAAAACCGCATCAAAATCCGTTGCGTAGTTTTAAAGGTCTAAGCATACAAAGGGACAGACAGCGGGAAGCGACTTTGTTATATACTATGTAGTGATGAATAACAAAAATAATACTATATTTTTGTATTATATAAGCATTAGGTCTCTTTCCATCAAAAGAAAGATGGCATTATATTAGCTTATCTTTTTCTCTTTTATAATAAAATCAGTAAGCTATATTTATTTATTAACATTTGTTTTGTACATATGACATGTGTACAACATATAAAAATATTATTATTTGTCTTCATGTGTAGTTCTATCACACTGTCTATATTATTCCTTAGTCTGAGCTCCCAATAGCTAAAAGTACTCACCTAGACTTAGCTATATGTCGTTTCAGACCGTTTTGTAGCTGTTGGACTAGAGTGGAGGCAGCTCGGTGTGCCGCCGCCTTGCTGCGTTGTGTCACCGTCGCTGATGCACGGTCCGCCTCCGCCTATAAACATTGGTTTTATCATATAAACTTTAGAATGCTTATAATCTACACCATCTATACATATAATAAAATTGTAACGTCGTATCTGTACATTAAATATTTTTTCGAAAATCTTATTGAAATAAACATTATTATCGATACAGAGGCCGAATCTATAGTTTTTAGAATTTTTGTCTTACTGTCTGTCTGTCTGTTACCGCATCATAGAAAAACCACTGGAGGGATTTTGATGAAATTTGGTATGGTGATAGCTGGTTATCCGAGTCAACATTTAGGATACTTTTTACCGCGGGAAAATACCTCCTTTTTGAGAAAAAATACAAAAACTGCAATGTAATAATACTAATAATAATACAGAGTATACTAATATGTAAAACCTATGAATTTGGTTTTTGGTCATCAGAACGCGGGCGGAGCTGCGGGCAATGCTAGTAATATTATAAAGACGTAAAGCTTGTAAGTGTGTAAATTGTACGTATGTGGTTATCTCTGAAACTACAGATCTTTTCATTCACTAATAGGAAGCTATATTACCTCCCAGTGTTATAGCCTATTTATATTCTTATAAAAATGTGCTCATTGTCAAAAATTATGAAAAAATTAATTGAAATGGCTGTCGAGTTACTCTATCGGCTATTATTTGGCACCTACTAGGGACGCACCCAAGTGAGGCTAGATTAAGTCGCTAACACTATATTTGCTTCCAACTCGGCTACTAGAACAATAAAAGTGCCTAAGCAATATCAATCTTAATTTCAAAGATCTATAGGGAGAAAAAAAATCGAACTTCGAACCCATATCTGTCTATTAAAAATGACGTCATTGTAAATGAAACAACATTATAAAACTATACAAGCAAACAGAACAAACAGATTAATCTATATCTATCATTGCAATATTTCTCACGTTTCATTAGTTGGTCACTTGTATTTCAATATTATTACGACACAATACTTTGTATTTGACTGACTTCAAAGATACGAAGTTACAATTTATATAAAACACTAACAGACCAGGCCACGCGTTGGGCTATGTGAACTTGGCACCCGAATTTGGAAAAATTGTTCTTTTTTAGGTTTATTTGAACAATTTCGGTTAGTAGTAGATAGTAGTGAAGCTAACTTCGTTTGTAGTAGTGTAAAAAAAAAATACAGACAACAAAAAAAATGTCATCCCCCGAAGTTGGTAAAAAAAATTTTTTTCGCTTGATTCGTATAGAAAAACGTTAGTAGTGGTTTGTAGTGCAATTTTTTTCGTTTGTAGTAAAACAAAAAAAATAATTTTTTTTTCGAGTATTTTTCCAGAACGATTTTTACTACATACATTCATTGTTTCGTTTGTAGTACCATTATTTCATTTGTAGTAACGTTAATTTTGGTTTGTAGTACCATTACTTCGTTTGAAGTAACGTTAATTTCGTTTGTAGTACCATTACTTCGTTTGTAGTACCATTATTTCGATTGTAGCTGTTTGTAGTAACGTTAATTTCGTTTATAGTACCATTATTTCGTTTGTAGTTGTTTGTAGTAACGTTAATTTCGTTTGTAGTACCATTATTTCGTTTGTAGTAACGTAAATTTCGTTTCTAGTACCATTGTTACGTTTGTAGTACCATTGTTTCGTTTGTAGTACCATTATTTCGTTTGTAGTACCATCATTTCGATTGTAGCTGTTTGTAGTAACGTTAATTTCGTTTGTAGTACCATTATTTCGTTTGTAGTTGTTTGTAGTAACGTTAATTTTGTTTGTAGTACCATTGTTTCGTTTGTAGTAACGTTAATTTCGTTTGTAGTACCATTATTTCGTTTGTAGTAACGTTAATTTCGTTTGTAGTACCATTATTTCGTTTGTAGTTGTTTGTAGTAACGTTAATTTCGTTTGCAGTACCATTATTTGGTTTGTAGTACCATTACTTCGTTTGTAGCTGTTTGTAGTAATGTTTATTTCGTTTGTAGTACCATTATTTCGTTTGTAGTTGTTTGTAGTAACGTTAATTTCGTTTGTAGTACCATTGCTACGTTTGTAGTACCATTGTTTCATTTGTAGTACCATTATTTCGTTTGTAGTACCATTATTTCGTTTGTTATACCATCATTTCGATTGTAGTTGTTTGTAGTAACGTTAATTTCGTTTGTAGTACCATTGTTTCGTTTGTAGTACCATTAATTCGTTTGTAGTACCATTATTTCGTTTGTAGTTGTTTGTAGTAACGTTAATTTTGTTTGTAGACCCAATATTTCGTTTGTAGTAACGTAAATTTCGTTTGTAGTACCATTGTTACGTTTGTAGTACCATTGTTTCGTTTGTAGTACCATTATTTCGTTTGTAGTACCATTATTTCGTTTGTAGTACCATCATTTCGATTGTAGCTGTTTGTAGTAACGTTAATTTCGTTTGTAGTACCATTATTTCGTTTGTAGTTGTTTGTAGTAACGTTAATTTCGTTTGTAGTACCATTATTTCGTTTGTAGTTGTTTGAAGTAACGTTAATTTCGTTTGTAGTACCATTGTTTCGTTTGTAGTACCATTAATTCGTTTGTAGTACCATTATTTCGTTTGTAGTACCATTATTTCTTTTGTAGTACCATCATTTCGATTGTAGCTGTTTGTAGTAACGTTAATTTCGTTTGTAGTACCATTATTTCGTTTGTAGTTGTTTGTAGTAACGTTATTTTCGTTTGCAGTACCATTATTTCGTTTGTAGTACCATTACTTCGTTTGTAGCTGTTTGTAGTAATGTTAATTTCGTTTGTAGTACCATTATTTCGTTTGTAGTTGTTTGTAGTAACGTTAATTTCGTTTGTAGTAACGTAAATTTCGTTTGTAGTACCATTGTTACGTTTGTAGTACCATTGTTTCGTTTGTAGTACTATTATTTCGTTTGTAGTACCATTATTTCGTTTATAGTACCATCATTTCAATTGTAGCTGTTTGTAGTAACGTTAATTTTGTTTGTAGTACCATTGTTTCGTTTGTAGTAACGTTAATTTCGTTTGTAGTACCCTTATTTCGTTTGTAGTTGTTTGTAGTAACGTTAATTTTGTTTGTAGTACCTTTGTTTCGTTTGTAGTAACGTTTATTTCGTTTGTAGTAATTTTTTATTAACGTTACTACAAACAACTACAAACGAAATATTGGGTCTACAATTGAAATTTACGTTACTACAAACAACTAAAAACGAAATAATGGTACTACAAACGAATTAATGGTACTACAAACGAAACAATGGTACTACAAACGAAATAATGGTACTACAAACGAAATAATGGTACTACAAACGAAATAATGGCACTACAAACGAATTAACGGTACTACAAACGAAACAATGGTACTACAAACGAAATTAACGTTACTTCAAACCATTACAAACAAAATAATGGTACTAGAAACTAAAGAATGGTACTACAAACAACTACAAACGAAATAATGGTATTACAAACGAAATTAAGGTTACTACAAACAACTACAAACAAAATAATGGTACTACAAACGAAATTTACGTTACGACAAACAGCTACAATCGAAATAATGGTACTACAAACGAAATAATGGTACTACAAACGAATTAATGGTTCTACAAACGAAACAATGGTACTACAAACGAAATTAACGTTACTACAAACAACTACAAACGAAATAAAGGTACTACAAACGAAATCAAGGTTACTACAAACAACTACAAACGAAACAATGGTACTACAAACGAAATTAACGTTACTACAAACAACTACAAACGAATTAATGGTACTACAAACGAAACAATGGTACTACAAACGAAATTAACGTTACTACAAACAACTACAAACGAAACAATGTTACTACAAACGAAATTAACGTTACTACAAACAACTACAAACGAAATAATGGTACTACAAACGAAATTAACATTACTACAAACAGCTACAAACGAAGTAATGGTACTACAAACGAAATTAACGTTACTACAAACGAAATTAACGTTACTTCAAACGAAGTAATGGTACTACAAACCAAAATTAACGTTACTACAAATGAAATAATGGTACTACAAACGGAACAATGAATGTATGTAGTAAAAATCGTTCTGGAAAAGTACTCGAAAAAAAATTTTTTTTTTTACTACAAACGAAAAAAAATGCACTACAAACCACTACTAACGTTTTTCTATACGAATCAAGCGAAAAAAAATTTTTTTACCAACTTCGGGGATGACATTTTTTTTGTTGTCTGTATTTTTTTTTGACACTACTACAAACGAAGTTAGCTTCACTACTATCTACTACTAACCGAAATCGTTCAAATAAACCTAAAAAAGAACAATTTTTCCAAAGTCGGGTGCCAAGTTCACATAGCCCACGCGTTGTTATGGCACACATATGAAAATAGTTAATTTTAGTTCAGATCGGATAAGTAGTTTCGGAGTTATTACTAGTAGTATGGCTATTTATTAAAGAAAGTTGTAGGCTCAAGATACAACCGTTATAAAACAATTTTTACTTATAATTCATAAGTTTTTGCACTATGCAGTGTCTATCAGATTCAGATAGTCGATACATTAAATTGGCATGATATACCCAGAAAATAAAGCTATCCCTCGGGAAATGGAACACATGGGGTTTGTATAAAATGTCCTATTACAAGTATTACACTAACAAACCTCAGGGCAATTCAATAACACACAATAGCCCCACATAACAAAAGAAACCCCTCACCTGGTTGACCCTGTGAGTAGCATGGTTAAGCATCTCTTGCCAAGCCGGGTCCAGGGTGAGACCGCCTGACCCATCAGCCAGCCTGGCAAGACCCTGCTCCGCCAAGTAGACCATCTCACGAGCTGCTGCATGAGCACTGTTTGCTTTGTCATATGTGAGATTTGCTGCTTGGAGTTCTTGTGATGTCTGAATGAAGATTTTTCTATTACTTTCCAGTACAGTTTAATTTTTATTTAAATAAAAACGTAGAAAACAACATTTAATAAAAATTAAATGTAATAAAATAGGCATAATAACCCCTAATTATAATTTACTTTTATTTCTTATTTTAATAAATTTATAAATATTTAGATAAAAAAATTATATTAATAGATATTTCCTTTATTTACAAAATTAAATAAAGCAGTTACTGAATGCCTTTAAATACAAGAATAACTCACAATATTAGCTCTAAATCTTGCTTCATAGTATGGTCTTGCTTTATGTACACTTGTTCCAAGTTTCTTTGTAAGTTGCTGTATCCGAAGGTGTCCTTCAGCCAGAAGCCGACGGAAAGCAAGTCGAGCCTCATCTAACTCTACCTCTAATCTGTTTATCTCATCTGTTGCTGTGTTCAAGCGTTCTAATTCGATCTATAAAAAATATATTAATATTATTTTAAAATAAAACCATATAGGATTGTTACATAAAGAACCATTTTTTAATTATAAAAAGTGACTGTCTGTATGACTCATATATTTCTTATTGGATAAATTAAAGGTATTACACATATTAATAATAATTATTTTAAAAACAAGTCAATAATTATCCACTTTTAAACAAGAAACGCTGAACCATAAAAGCTAGACATATGTTTATGAAAGCTTTAAATTAAAAGGTAATATATTTAAAATAATATAAATATAAATTAAATAATAAAAAATCACTCCTCATTTAATTACATAAGTTATTATAAGAGTACTTTGCGTTCTATTTATTACTTATTATATTGTCTTCCGGGTCATATAAATTGATCAAGATATTCACCCACATGAAAATAGATCTATTGTTCGTGTAATATTGTCGTTCATAATATCGATTAACTTTACCTGTACTCGAGGATCTAAAGTTTCAGTGCATTCTGCGGCGCTATCGCTCATTTTACTCTCAAATCATATACATTTTAACCAATGTTACATTCAATGTAAAGCTTTATTTATGTTATTGCTTTTGTTCTGTAAAACTTCGCAACGCCATCGCTAAAAAGCGAATATTAGACAGGAAAATGAATACACAAAAGCTTCGTTCCGCCTGCGGTTTTGTTTATTGTCTATGGTACGTCGTTGCTCGTACTTGGTAAATGTCATGGATGACAAAAGTAAATGTCATCTCATAGTTTACCATTTACCAATACCTCTTTGTAGTCTACGGATTTCTTAAAATAAATTCCTAACTCTAGTATAAATACTAAAAACAATGTTTTGAAAAAAAGTGAATAAGATTATGTAGTTCTTCAGTATACATTATTTAAATTATATTTTTTATAAAAATAAATTGCTAGAATATTTCTAAACAAGTCAGTAGGTATCTACTATTTGCATTTGGCAATACTCATATTTTCCCCAACCACCTGCCAGTGCCACACTTGACATTTAATTTGTCATAAAATCGAAAGTAACAGAAGCCCGTCAAGTTAATAAATAGATATAGAACAGAATCCAAAATGGTAATAATCATTCAATAAAAGTTTATTAAATGTGTATACATGTAAGTACATTGCTTTTATATTTCAGGCGACAGAAGTTGAAGAAACTATCAAGAGAATTCAAGCACATAAGGGTGTTATGGGTGTCGTCATCGTCAACCATGAAGGTTTGGTCGATTTTTTCATTATTTCCATAGAAATTTTAAATGTATTGATTATTCTTTAAACATAATAATTTGATTTCAGGAATTCCTATAAAAAGCTCTTTGGATAACGCAACATCTGTGTTATATGCTGGTTTGATTGGTCAACTTACAGAAAAAGCGAAAAATGTTGTTCGTGAGATGGTAAAAACATTATATACTTGAATAATTAATAGAAGGAAATATTTATAACTCATAGCTCTGATATGCTTCAAAGAAATATTAGTTTAAGAACAAACAAAATTTTATACAGAAACACCAATAGGAAAATTCTAATTATGCATCATCTAAAAAACCTTGTATATGTTTGTAATTTTATTATTTTCAGGACTCTACAAATGAATTGACATTTTTGAGAGTAAGGAGTAGAAGACATGAGATACTGATTGCACCTGACCGAGAATTTATTCTTATAGTGATCCAGAATACTTCAGACTAGTCTTTTCTATAGTGATAAGGATAAACGCTGATTATATTTAAGTTATATTACTTTTATTTTTAATAATTAACTATCTTTTTTGTCTAACCACTTAATATTGCAGATAATTATGTATTTTATTTGCAAGAGTTCTGATAAGACTTATATAAATCATTTTAGAAGGTAATGTTGCTTTTTAATATTTTTTAAATATATGAAAAAGCTGAACTTTAAAAAAAGATGAACTGTAATATAAGAATAATTATTGTATTCATCAATTTCAATATTATAAATCTACACCAGTGTAATACACATGAGGGCCTCTATTTATCAAGCTTATGTAACAATAAACAATAGAAATACACATTGAGAATTTTTAGTTTTAATTAATTTATGTAATATGTAGAAAATAAGATAAAGTATTGAATAAACTTTTGAATTAAACTGGTTTTCTTTAATTAGGACATCTTACTAATATAATAAACGTGAAAGTTTAGATGGATGTTGGTAATTACGCCATAACGGCTGAACAGATTTGGATTTAATTTGGCACAGAGGTAAATTATAGTCTGGAATAGAACATAGGCCACATTCTATCGAGAAAAAAATACGGACAAGTAAGAGCCTGACTCGCCCACCGAGGGTTCCGTACAAATTTTAGGAAATCTATTTAACTTTAATTTTCAACATTTTTATTTTTTGGATTTTGTTCTTTATTTGTGCTGTAACACCTTGCTTTTTGCCAAATTTCGTGATTCTAGATCAACGGGAATATAGGTTTTCGACCCAAAACCTATGAGGTACTTCCGGTTGACCTAGAATTGTCAATTTTGGTTAAAAGCAAGGTCTTACAGCACAAGTAACGGGAAAATTCCGAAAATAAAAGAAGTTGAAAATTAAGGTAAATTTTGGTACTTAAAACAGATTGCCAAAATCTAAATTTGCCCATACCTTTTTATCGTGTTGACTCAGGACATTGATTTTTATACACCTAATAGGGACTATAGACCTCAGTATCTAGTATAAATTTTAACTTCCTAGGTCCATCCGTTCCTGAGAGAATCTGTGGTGACACACGGACAAGAGAGTGATCATATAAGGGTGACTTTTTTACCTTTTGAGGTACGGAACCCTAAAAATATACGGTTGCCGTGGAATAGTTTTGGCCTCGTTTACTAGAGGCAAACCAGAGTTAAGCGAGGGTGAGCCGCTAGTAATATGTAGGTATAGGTATATTATTTTATACCGATGCTATTAAAATTACCCATGAAAGATTTTTCTTACTGTTTTGATGACTATGTTCTTTGTGGTATAGATATAATCAACCATACTTGCTAATATTATTTATACACAAACATTTGCCTGAGGCTTCACCTGCATCTTATGTAACCCATTTTGGCTATAAATTTTCAAATGCTCTTTCTTAGCTTCTCCCTATAAGATACCTGCTAAATTTGAAAGTAGTAGCATTTATATACTTTCCACGATTTCGTGATTAATCAGAGAGTATTATAATTCGCTTTATGGATATAAACTAATTGAAATGAAAGAACGTTAATGATTTGCAAAAAAATTTATTTCATTAAAAAACTAGTTTGACGAAACAATCCAGCAGGTCTGTGAAGTTGAATTAGAAAATGTTCAAAGTTGATCAACACTTACCTTTTGTGCAAACATACACTTGTTAATATATTTGCGTTCAGATTCTTGATTATAACGGGTTTTTGGTTTTTGAAAATTATTATTAGATATTTACATTTATCTTAGTGATCATTATTCACTTTAAATTATACTATAATTACTTTTTAGTAAAATATTATAATTTTAATACTTTTGTTCTTGACTGTCATCGTAATTATTTTACAGATTAAAATTAGAAAATATGTTTATATAAAATATTTTGTGCTTTAATTAATGCTTATAATTTGCTCACATTTATGTATATTTATTTATCAATGAGTTTTTCTATAAATGTTACTATGTTGACTGAACCTTTTTGATCGAGGTTCAACTGCCTTTTTGTGTGTTTTGCGATATTTTCGGCAAATTGTGAACCGATTTTCATTTTTTTCATTAATAATTTATATCTCGGTTGTCCCATGTACCTATCTATACAATTAAAAAAATGTTGCACCTCTAAAAAAAGAATGTAGTAATATATAGGTAAGTAAAAATAATTGTATATTTGTGACTTAAAGTTGGTGTAAGGTTTTAAAAAGTAACAAAAAAATCATTTGACTCGATAATTTTCAAAACCGGCAGTGGATTATGGACTATTATATTATCATATTATACATATTTTTTATATAATTTTTAAAAATATGGTAAAAGAATTTATTATTTAACAATAAATTTTAACTGACAATGAAAACGAATTAAAAAAACGAGTCAGTTTAAGTATTCTTCATAAAAGCATTTAGTTTGATTTAATTAATATTTTGACTAAATACAATGGATTTTTTTATTTATTCTCTTTAGAAAAGTCCAGTAACATAAAAAATATTGTTTTATATATTTATAATCTATAATTTTCTAGACGCTGAAACAAGATTATTGATTAATTTAGACTGAATTCATTGTTCCTCCATATATATTTTTTGCATTGTAATGTTGGTAATTAATATTATTTATTTACATACTTAATCAAAATAATTTCGCGAACAAATATGTTATTTGTAATTTGACAAACAAACGAAGTATTTTCGATATAAAATATTAAAACAATGCATGCAATGCATTCCAAAAAATATGCATAGCAATGAGCGAAAAGTATAAATCTTATGTTTTAAATGTAAAAACAAAATGGAGTATATCAGAACATAAAACCATTAATTTTATATTTATTTAGATATGCAATTTTTTTTCTGTTTAAATTTTTAGTAATTTGTTACACACCCACTTGCTTTCGTTTTGTTCCAACTAATATTTACTCCAATTTATTTAAGCCAATTGTCTTTTTGATATCAAAATAAGGGTTTGTATATTTTTTATAAAAATAATTTATAATAATAGATTTTCAAAATTAAAATTCCTGATTTTTCTTAATTAATTTTATTTCTAAGACACACAAAAGTTTGATACATTAATTTTCTTCGAACAATTTTTCAATATTGATTATAGTTTTTAAAAATTTAATTTTAGTACATTATAATAGTATTAGACTAAAACTATCCTATTTTTTAATCGCGTTTAACATCTAGGTTACGTTTGAAAGAATTATTTTTAATAAATCCAACCTTAGTTGACTTATCTACTTTATATTCATATTTTGATTTGTTCTAATAACAAAACTAAGTATAATTTGATTGCAATTAAACGCAGAAAGTTCACAATTTCCTAAGTATATTTTAGTTATTAATTATATATGTGTGTATTTATTATGACAGTGTTGCCATTTTTAAAAATTGTACTTTATCCTTTGTCTTTTATTATCTGTGGTTATCTCCATTTTGTGTTGTTTTTTGCTTCCAATATATTTGACTATTATTTTCTTTTTGTTGGTAATTTTTCTCCACTTTTGTGTCTGGTTACATTTTTAGGGGGTGTTTCTTTATTGTTTTTTTACTTACCGATTATTGTGAACGTTTCTTGTTTGTGGGCCTGAAACAAATCTTATTATTAGTATATTTGTATAGAATAAATAATATCACAAGGCAATTAAACTAAAAACAAACGGGCAAATAAAATTAATTAAATTATTATTTTAAAAGAAGCCAAACAAAAAATGCGTGTGGTAAACAAGTTAATAGATGCATGGAGATTTTATATAAAGTTAAATATGAGAGATGTGTAATTAAAGCTTATCCATCTTTTGTTCGAAAGTGCATACATGCATACATACATATATACAGTTCTCTTAAATCTCAAATTATTCACACCAGGAATTAATGCTACAACAACAATTTAAAGAACTAAGAAATTCATATAGTCAAAATTAATTTAATATTGAAAAATTAAAGGTCTTTCAAAATGATCAACCAGATTCATCTCATTTCACTTCTCTCATATCATCATATCAGTTGAACACAATTAATCATTAAAAACCTAATACACTTCTAATTATATCCTTATAACATCCAAATACACTCCACCTCTATAAAGCACTCTTCACACGCTACAAACATACAAACGGAATCTTTTACTATAAAGCTCTTTCCACACGCTACATACATACGAACAGAATCCTTCATTATAAAGCCCTCTCTACACGCTACAAACATACGAACAGAATCGTTCACTAAAAAGCTCACTCCATACGCTACAAACATACAAACCGAATCTTTCACTATAAAGCCCACTCCACACGCTATAAATAAACGAAGAGAATCTTTAACTATAAAGCCCTATCCACACGATACGAACGGCTCCCAACTAATCCATCCTAACACTCCAGCACTATAAAGCCCGCACCACACGCTATAAACATACGAACGGCACAGCACTACTTGGGCGCGCGCGCGTACGGCGAGGCGCGCGCGTAGTGGCGCTGGTGGGCTGGCGGCGCGGCGTGCGGGCGGCGCGTGCCCACGTCGCGCGCGGACGTCTTGAACTCGCGACCAGAGTCCTTGTAGTACGAGTCGTCTTCGTAGAAGCGCTCCTGGTTGCGGTCGTAGTAGTAGTCCGGCTCGGGCGCCGCGCGGGGCGGGCCTCGTTGCATCTGGGGATAAGGTGGTAGCATCTTTCATGAAAGATGCGAATTATCGCAAACAAAAAAAAAAAACAAAAGAATTCCCAGTGGATATAAATTTGAAATTAAATTATATTTTTTTTTATAATTATATAAGTATTAACTATTTATTTAGTAATAAATAAATATTATCTTCTCTATATTAACAATGAGGTGTAAAATTAGTAACTCATTTCAATGCTTTGTTTTGTGGCTTATAGGCGTGCCATTGGGGTACGTATAGTTTACTTCGCCAATGTCGTGTAGAACGGAGAATTAATAATCCATATATTATATTTTTTTTTAAATTGCCTTTTAAGTATCAGACGTGAATCAGATTATAAGATACGACTTATGTAGACAGCGTTTAAATATACATGCAATTACTGGAAAGCATAATCATATGAGCTTTACTTGTATACAATACATAAAAATAATTGCCAAAAAAAACTTATGTACCAAGAAATTGACATAGAAATACACTTTATAAAGATAATATTTAAAAAAAAGAAATCAAATATATGGCACTCCTCTTATTTAACAATAAATACCATAATTTTTATATTTGTAAGACATCAAACATAGTCAAGGTTTAAAATAAATCTTAAATAACACTTACTGGAGGTTCAGGAGCAGCATAAGGATCATCATATGAGTATGATGATTCCATGGCAGTACGGGCCCTGTCTAGAATGCTGAAGACCTTGGTCTTCGCAGGCATTGGTCGCATAGGAGCGTGATGAGGAGCAGGGGGCATGCGTGGTGGTGCTGGAGCCCTTGGAGCCTGATGAGGGGGAGGTCCACCTGTAAAGAAATATTTCTTTTAATAATAATAGGCTTTGGACTTCCTTACAATTGATAAGTGAAATATAAAATTATAGACTTGAAAACCACTTTAACGGCACGTTTGGCTCAGTCTGTAGTGATCCACCCTACTTGCTATGCCAGCGGTTGCGGGTTCGAGTGCCGCTGGGGGCATTCATTTGTGTGATGAGCGCGAATGTTTGTATTCCAGTCATGGATGTTTATATTTATAATATGTATGTATTTAAAGTTATACATGTGTAGTGTATCAACTATCTGGTATTCATAACACAAGCCTTGTAGCTTACCATGGAACTAGATGGTGCTGTGTTAATGTCCCAACATATTTATTTATTATATTTATAATTGCACCCAAAAGTTTTTTAAATATAAAAATCTTCTTCATTGAATTCACTTAAAATTATGTCACATGGTTAGAATATATTTTTCACATGTTCTTGATATTTAAGTAAGGTTTAGTATAAATTTCTTAGAGATGAGATATTTTCTCGCAGTAAAAAGTATCCTATATGTTGACCTGGATATCCAGCTATTATCATAATCTGTCCAGTGGTTTTCTCTTGATGCGGTAACAGACAGAGAGACAGACAGACAAAAATTCTAAAAACTATAGATTCGGCCTCTGTATCGATAATAATGTCTATTTCAATAAGATTTTCCAAAAAATATCTAAGATACAGATTCGGCTTAGTTACAATTTTATTATATGTATAGATTTGTATAAAGCTGTATATAAATATAATATTATTGTCTAATGAAATATTATCATCCTTAACTCATCTGCTAACATTTTTTGCATTTAACATAATATATACATACTAGCGGACCCGGCAGACGTTGTCCTGTCTGTCTGTCTGTCTTTAATTTGAAAATTTCAAACTTTTTTCAATAATTTTTTTGATGAAAATTATTATTCAAATTGTGAATCTAAACCATTCCCAGATCCCCTTGAACACACACAAAAAATTTCATCAAAATCGGTCCAGTCGTTTGAGAGAAGTTCAGTGACATACACACTCACAGAAGAATTATATATATAAAGATATGTATACCTATATAATATGTAAAAGACATATTAATGGACCGATTTTAATCTAATATTATAAATGCGAAAGTAAATCTGTTTGTTGTTACATTTGCACAACTAAATGGCTGATTTAGATGAAAATTGGTATTGAGACAGTTTGAGATCCAGCGAAGGTCATATATATGAAGGTCATAGAGAATGAAGAGGGGGTTTGGAAGTTTGTATTGGGAATCAATTATTTCTCAAGTAAGGGATATAAAACTCATCATATCTATGTATATATAGTCTATCTATTCCATACTAACCATCAAAACGTACCTTCCGCAAGTTTTATATTTATATATCCTTTGAATTCATCAGACAATTTATAAATTGACTGGTGAATTCAAAGGATACAATTACAGTTTGAGCTCTCTATAAAAAGCTGTCTAACATTGAGTTTATTATTTGATGATTATTATAGTGGTGCATAGCATGATAGTGTTTGCCAGTTTATATTACCACTAGCGGCTGACCCCCGCTTCGCTCGGGTTCGTTTTAAGGGTATGTACGGAATAGATAGACATATATATATATATATATATATATATATATATATATATATATATATATAGCCATCCTCAATAAACGGGCTATTTAATGCAAAAATATTTTTTTAAATTGGATTAGTAGTTCCTGATATTAGCGCGTTCAAACAAACAAATTCTGCCTTTTTATAATATTTAAGTATAGAAAGTATAGATAAAAATTAAAAGTACATAGAATATTTTAATGGGAAGGTATTATGGAAATATTTGGTATGGGGTGAAAGCTTTGGCGTATAATAATAATAATGGCCAATTAAATTTTGAATTGTTTGTTTGTGTGCGCACTGGATTTTGATGTGTTTTTCTTTATTATATGATATAATAATAAAATTCAAATTTTACAAATTCAGTCCTGGTTAGTGGTTTCGAGCTAATTAAACGTGTTCCACGTTTAAAAAAAACTATTTTTTTTTGGTTTTATTTTACTTGTTTATTACCGCCATTTTATTATTTAATGTTTATTAAAAAAAGGATTAAGGTTGTGCCATTTTTCCCTCTTAAAATTATCGTAAATTTTGTGTTTACTAATAATTATCAATTTTATATAAAAAGAAAATTGTAAAGTATTCGAAACTTTGGCAAAAAAAAGCAAAAAAAAACCAAAAGTTTTACAAAAAAATATCAAACATTTGCGTAAATATGATGTCCTCCTGACCGATTCCGGCCACGGCGGCCAATCTCATCGAGACTAGCCAACTGCGCAGGAGATATTATAGTGCACACTATTCCTATCACTCTCATACTCCGGTAGGACGACTACTCGACACGACCGGTGAGAGTTAAGGCGCAGGACCGACGGCTTTACGTGCTCTCCAAGGCACGGGGGTGAAACACCGCCAACTTCCCAACTCCGGGCTGTTACCGAGATTTACTATACAGAAAGACTCAATAACTAAACTTGGCCCGACCCGGGACTCGAACCCAGGACCTCCGGGTGTGCAGCCGTACATGCTAGCCACTACACCACCGAGGCAGTCACGCGCAAACATAAGAAAGTATTAAAGGAACACGTGTATCGTCGCAGGTAAAAGTAAGTTTTAAAATCGAGCGCACCTGGTGTCCTAAGCATGGGATTCTGGTAGGATAGGGATCGTGTTGTGATGGTGCAACTGTATGCCACGTTGTTTTCTGGCGCTTCTAGTAAGGGCCCCATCCGCGTATCTGACGACAAATGCGCCTTTCAATAACATATTATCTAATATATAAAATTTCCATGTCACAATGTTAGTTACCGTACTCCTCCGAAACGGCTTTATCGATTTTTACCAAATTTTATATGCGTATTCAGTAGGTCTGAGAATCGGCTACTATCTATTTTCCATACCCCTAAGTGATAAGGATAAGGGTGGTCCTCCCAGACTCCACCCCAGGGAAGAACCCGAGCGGAGCGATGGTGTCGCTAGTATATTCTTTAAATTGACGTAACTTTTTTATATATGAACCGATTGAAATAAAACAAATACTAAATGTTAAGTGAAGCTTACCACAATATATTAGTGAAAACCGCATCCAAATCGGTTAAGCCGCTTCTGAGATTAGCGCGCACAAACGCACAGACAAACAGACAAAAATTCTAAAAATCATTGTTTTGGGTTCTATTGCGTAAATAATGACCCCCAAATGATAGTTTTTCTCAAATACATTCCATTTACAGACAGCGATCAGTTACACTTTTATTATATGTATAGATAAATGTCTCGGGTGTTTAATCGCTAGCACATACGGCTACAGAACCGCATGTCCTGGGTTCGAGTCCCGGGTCGGGCCAAGTTTAGCTATTTTTTCTATTTAAAAAAAATCTGTAAGAGCCTAAAGTTGGAAAGCTAGAGAAGATTACTGATTAACGCCACCGGTCATGCCTGACTCTCACCAGTCGTGTCGAATCGTGGTTTCAACAGAGTATGAGGTTATTAACATAAAATTCCCCCCACGCTGAGTTTGTTTGTTCGAGCTAAGCTCAGAAACTACTAAATGAATTTTCATACAGATTTCACTAATAGAAAGAGGGTTTATGTAGGAAACCTATAAGGCCATAATTGGACGTAGTTATGCAAAATATATCCAACCACAAAAACTTACTTTTGAGAAAATAGAAATTTTAGTAAAATTGGTATATAAAATTGACAAGATCGTATTTTTTTTGAAATTCCTCTTAAATACTGGGTATTTTATCTACTTTCTTGTATATAAATTGATATGAAGGTGCCATTTACGACAGTAAATCAAAAAACGGTTGCCGTGAGCTGGATGCATTTTGCATAATTACGTCCAATTTATGGACTTGCCAATAAGCTAACGGCATGATGATATTTTTGAATTAAGTCGAAAACAATAGGTCCTTTTGACAACTTCCATAATATTATAAATATGAAGGGCATCTAGATGCCCTAGGGTTACTAGGAGATATCAGTTATAGGTAACAACTTACACGCACTTACATTAAGCTCACTTTAAAAAAGGAGGTTTAAAAACAAAATCATTCGATTTTTAATAAGTAAAACCTCAAAGGTTTTCAATATATTTAAAAAAAAGACAAAAAGGCCAAGTAGAGTAAACATTGACTTCGTTGGGAATTGAACCCACTATGACGTTTCATAGACAAGATTGTTCGATTTGAGCAGTACGTTTGAAGAGCTTTGTGTGTAATGTGTTAAATGTAATTTTTCGTTTTAAGTATATTTCATTGGCTTTTTATTTTTCAACACGTCAAGGTGTGGCTTAGAAGCAAATAGAAAAATTTTATCATTTCTATCCATTTATGATACACAATGGACTAAGATCCCACTGCAAGATTGCTACGTTCATAGCGTATTTTATCGATAAATACGCTATGAGCGTAGCAATCTTGCAGTGGGATCTCGATCCAAAGCAAAGGATTGTATGAAAAGGATTTTCATGTAGATGTCAGTTTCATTATAGTTTAATTGATCCAAGGAAACTTATCTAACTTTACGCTGTGACCCTTAGGAACTATTTTATATAGTCATGAACAGACGTGGGTAAAGAAAAGTGTATGTTTAAAATATGTAATGGAAAATTATTATCTACACCAAAATGATAACAGTCATTATTAGGATTTCATTAATCATGACTTTATATATTATTGACTAATAACAATAACATATCTACACTAATATTATAAAGAGGAATGTTTTGTATGTTTGTAACAAATAAACTCAAAAACTATGGACCAATTTACGTGAAATTTGGTAAGATAGTTTGAGACCCTGGGAACAACATAGGATATTTTTTATTCCAGAAATCATCCCTTAAGGGAGTGACAATGGGGATGAAAGTTTCTATGGGGAATCAACCTAGGGACGAGCCCGAGCAAAGCATAGGTGAGTCGGTAGTTAGTTATAAGATGGTTTTTGAATACTTATACTCCTACTCAAATAACAAGTCGAGTGTGAGTAGTTAAATGATTTTGTATGAACAAAAAACATACATGGAAATGAAATATAAAATAATATACATATATGGTCATTCAGATAATCTACAAGTGTTATTAAAACTTAGGAGATTTGGGGATATCTTACAATTAAAGTTATTTACTATATGTATTCAGCCCTTTTTAATGTCCCTCTGCTGGCACTGGCCTCCCTTCAATATGATGGGGACCCGGCCATACAATATACATAATATAGCCCTACTATATAGTTCTAATTAAAACCAAAAATATTTTTTAGCTAAACCCTCAAGTTACGAGATCCAAAATAAACCGAAAGCATTACATTGTGTGCTTATGTAAATAAACCAGACTTATTCAGATTGGAAACAAAATGCAAATAATGCACACGTCAGCAAAACCTTTAAAACATAGTAAAAAAAAAAACAAAACAATCATAAGTGGTAATACAAACTGACCTCTATCCATAATTTCCCTCATCTGTGTTTGCCTCATCATGTCATTATGATCTGGGATCAAGTATTTTTTCACTTCGGCCAAGGCATATGCAATTCTGGCATGGGCCTCTGCAGGTGGGGCCAGAGCTGATACTTCTACGTGAAGTTCGTCAGAAAGATGAGCATATTTAGGGTCTAGGGAATTGCGAAGCTCTTCTTCTTTTTGTCTGTAAATAAAATGCTTATATTCAAATCGTATTTGTTACTAGGTACACGGGTTTTGTTCACAATTTGAATGGTTTTGTTTTTTATGTGCAGAACCGTTATTCTTTATCCAAAATAAAAGTATCCAATTTACTCCTTGTAACATCAACTATCTGCTAATGAAAGCCCCATAAAATCGGTCCAGCCATTTCAAAGATTAGCCAGAAATAGCAGACAGACTGACAAAAATTTGTTTCTTTTTTTCTTATATATACCACTTATACTTTCATATGCATTTAGTAAAAAGCTGTTATTTTGACATTACAAACAGACACAAGTATTAGATACTGTAATACAGATATCAATGTAGTTAATTTTATGTAGGTGCAAAGGGTTGCAAATAAGGATACTCTACAAAAATATGGAATGTTTATAAGACTTATGTATAAAGTGATTTCTCATATGAATTAATAAGCTTAAGTCATATAATTGTATTAATCTACAAAAAAAGAGTTTTGATTAGCTTTAAAGTATTTACCTGTCTCTCATTGATCCTCTACCAAGAATTGCCATTTTGCACATTGTTTCTTCTTGCAACTGTTTCATTTTGCTGCCTTTAGGACCCAGTAGCTTGCCAACAAAGTTTATCTAAAACAAAATTAATATGTACCAAAAAACATGAAATCTCTATGGAATCACTTTTATGACAATCTTTATAAGTTATTTGTCCTTTTTATTTTGAATAGATATTAGTTCTGGTAAGTTCGATCCAAACTTAACAGCGGCTCATTAGCTACAAGTACGAGTAAGCAGTGTCTCATTCCCCTGTGCCCCGCTGATATAACCTAATATTGCTTTCTGTGTATCGAAACATTCGATGTCTAGAACCATCAATAAGTTTGATTTGTACTGTGAAAAATATGGGTCTAGTAAACAAATTATTTGTTGTTACTGTTGAAAAAAAAAACTAACTAAATATTTGCTGAATGCATTATATGTGTGGAATGAAAGAGCTAATTATGAGGGATGGAAATAATTTGTTTTTATAATAGGATATATTTTTATATTAATATGTATTACCTTAGGGTGTTCCTTGACAGGTACCAAAACTTTTACAGTAACTTTGATAGGTTTTTCTCTGTAGACATCTAAATATTTGAAGTCCTTAGGTGGTATTCGGCCCGATGCTTGCACTTTTGCCACCTCTAAAACAAATATACCAATTGTAATCTAAACAAAGCTGATTAATAATATTTTTTTTGATACATAAGTAGCTCGCGGTAAAATAATTGATTCTCTTCTCTAGGATTAAAAAATTCAATGTACTACTAGTTGCTTCATTTAAAGTGGTAATTACAAAAAATACTTTATGATTTTAATAATGCTAAATCGATTTGTTTAGTGTTTATTTCAATATTTGTTAACGAAATATTTTTTATGAAATAAGATTTAGTGATTATAAATTGTGACAAACCTTGGTCGATTAGTCTTGACGATATAGGAAATTTAGTGTTGTTTAGCTTTATTTTTTCACTTAGCAATTCCCTCATGTATTCACCAGCTTTCTCATTTATTTTGGATCCATCTTCGCCATCTTGTTCTTGGTCAAGCTCTTCATCTTGTTTTACATTAAGTGAAGAGTTTCTTTTAAAATCACTGTCATTGTAGCCATTTTTGTCATATTTCTCAGCCATATTTAATATTTATTTTATTAAAAGATATTAAATAAAATATTCTATCAATAATTAATATTACAATACCCGCGTCGTATAATATGACTAATGACACTGACAGCCGACAGGGTTTACCGGGAGACGCCGATGCCCGATGGCCGAAAACCAAAAAGAATCTACGTTTTTTTTGGCCGAAAACGAAATATTCCATAAACAAAAGGTTACATTCTGTAATCTGTACGCCAGTTGCCACGGACTATAGAGATATTCAAGCAGGTATATCCATAGAGATAAAACAGTATACAAAAAATATTAAATAAATATAGACTGATTACGGTACATTGTACATGTAGGTACATGGTTTCCATCCATCATAGATTAATAATAAAAAGCAGTCATAAGTCACTATGTGTAACTCAGCTCAGAGCCGGTTCAAATATTCAGTTCACAGTAGCTAGAGCCGTTGAGCTGCGGCTCAGTTGCTAGATAATCGATTCACAGCTCAATATTACTTAATATGGCTCCGTGCATCACTTCAGCGCCACCTAACGTCAGCTATTTCGATGGACCCGAGCCGACGGACCTGTACTATAGTCTATAATCTATACTTTTTACAGAGAGGTCAAATTAATTGTTTAATATTTTTTCTTCTTATATTAATAATAATTAATTACACGCTCTGTGTTTTAAAATAATATTAGGATAAAATCTAAATATACTTTATTCAAATAGACTTTTACAAGCACTTTTGAATCGTCAATTTTACATTTTAAATTTTCAGTGTAGTTAGTTTGTGCGGAAGTTCAACGTACCGTAAAATGGGGTGAATAGGGACAAATCCCAACTTTATGAACAATTTTAAGATAGTTGTTGATGGATATATTGCTAAATCAGGATAAAAAGGATTGAGTCTTGGTGGTATCTTTGTTATCTAGTTTAAAATTATGTAATCAGCATTCCAGTTTAAGTAAAAAAAACAAAAATAGATGTAATCCCTATTCACCCGGAATTTGGGGTTAATAGGGACGAAAATAGTGTCAATAGAGAAATTTGCTAGGGCTGGCACTACTTTGTTTAATAATCAATTTCCACATATGTATTTATTTTGTTTATATTTCTTATCAGATGATGAAATAAAATAGTAGGTACGAATTCAATGGTTTATTTTTTAAATTAACTTAAGTAAGTCATTTTAACTTTTTTATAAGTTTTTGAAACATTTTTGAATTTACAAGGTTATAATACATATAAAAAGTTTTTAAACATAGTAATAATCACATTTTGTAATTTGGCATATAAATTTGATACGTACACGCGAGGCATGTCTAAAAATTGAAAACAATATGTAGTATCAATATTTGACACACAATAAAATAACAGTGCATTAATATATATATAAAAATGAATTTAAATTTGTTAGTCTCATAAAAACTCGAGAAAAACTGGACCGATTCGGCTAGTTATAATTATAATAAGAAAAGTTCAGACAACTTTTATTGACCGCACAAAGTTCGCAGGGTCAGCTAGTAAATAGGTAAATAAAAGACAAGACAAAAATAACATGAATATACTAAATAGTTACCTCACCTATAAAAAAGAATGTTATAAGTACTTGGTGACAACCCTACAATCCTGTACCTATTCATACTTAAGTCGTTCCTATTCAACTTATTCTCATCCCAATTGACCCCTCTTTCGTTGTTATTAATACCTGAGACGTCCCTATTCGCCCCAAAAACATCAGATTTTACATAGATTTCTAATTTATCAAATAACATTTAAATCAATTAACAACTGAGACTTACCTTTAATACATAAGATGGCCCAAACACTAAATAACGCTTTTAAATCACGGTCGTCTTTTAATACTATCAAATAAATTAAAGAAAGCAAAGTTTCTAACACTAAAATAATTGCCGCCACGAGAAGTTATTTTTAAATGCGATTTTTTAACAGTTAGCAGCTAATTTCATGCATATTCAGTGTTGCCATGAAAACATTCAATATTCTACTATTACATCACAAAAAATAGAAGAATTTGTAACGAATTTAGAATTAATAGTGTGCGTCGAAATATTTTTCCGGTTTTATCCCTATTCACCTCTCAATCCCTATTCACCCCATTTTACGGTACAACGGACCAAATGCGAGTCTAAGTGCGGAAAACGAGTCCAATATACAATTGTGCGGAAGTTACCACCGTCTCGGAAGGCAGTTCTACTATTTAGTTTTATACAACAATAAACTAATATTAAGTACTAGTTTTATAGATTAAATATAAATAACTAGTTTTCGCCCGCGGCTCCGCTTGCGTGATACAGGAAACTACGGTAGTCGGTACCTACGTTAATTAAAGTAGGTAGGTACTCTATGTCCTTTTCTGTCTGTATTTAATGATAATCGGGATTCAGGTGAATAGTTAAGGCGTGAAAGCGTAACAAACAAACAAACTCACTAGCATTTATAATAATTGCATGAAATTAGCATTCCCCTATAATTGTGTAAGAACGAAAAAATATGACTATAATAACTTTTTTCGAAATGCTGCTTTATAACATACAAATATAATTTAGGTACATCATATATGTCATTTGTTTGAACAGAGTCATAAATTAGCTGTAAATCTATAGTTATAAGTACCCATACAACATCAATTGAGCTGAACTGTGAGCCGGTTCACAGCTCCGGTTCAAACATATGACTCATGAGCTGACCTGCAGCTCATAAAAATTCATTGAGTTACCCATGTCTAGTCATAAGGACTGCTGACAGAAGTGAAAACTTAAAACTATAAACGTTAACATACAGTTGTCATTTTTGGATATTCAAATTAATTATTTGATTTAAAATAAAAAAAAATGTAAATTAAAACTGTTTACATTTATCTGGTTTTGACATCTATGGGCACTCTGAGTGTGTTGATAAAATAAGAAAATATAAACAAATATTAATAACGATAATGTAAATAAAATTTTGATCAATGTCACCATGAAGAAAAAACACTTCTAATATTTTCTGTTATAGAGTTGGTTCCTTGCGCGCATCACGCTAAAGCAGTACTTTTCAAAATACTCGATTGAGCGGAGCGTTGCTGTAGTTGGAATATCCGAAGTTAGTAGTACTATGCCGCATAATACGCTTTAGTGCTCTAATTGGAAAACAGGGAGAGTATTAGGCTTTACATAAACCTTAGTTACTCGCGCCTATATGACTTAAGTAAATTGTTTAAATGGCAAGCTCAATATCGACTGTGAAATTTTATTTATTATATGCGTACACGGTTTACCTACACCTAACAACTTGTGCCATAAAATACTTATTTACTTTTTAAAAGCGAAAGCTTTATCAAAAGCGTCATCAAATTATTCTCATTTCTAGTATTTATTTCGTGTCTGTCACTGTTTATTTTCACACTGAATGTTTTGTCAAACTAATAATCGACACTTCATATTATAAATGTGAAAGGTGTTTATTTGTTTGTCCTTCTTTCACATCTCAAACAGAGAGACGGATTGGTATGATTTCTTGTGTGGTGACAGTTGGAGGGCTAGAGTGTAACAAAGGCAGGCTACTTTTTACCGCGGGAGATTATCTCATTCCTACGGGAAAACACGTTATAATACAACCCACAACAACTCATCATACCTATGTATATAAATAAATAATATATAGTCTATCTATTCTATTCCATACTAACCGTTAAAAACGTACCTAGACTACGAACCCGAGTGAAGCGCGAGTAACTAGTATTATAATATAGTAAGTATGTAAGTATATTGTATAATCAATTCAACACACACAATCAATTTAACATTCACATTTATGCGTACGTAAGATTTATGGTATGAGATTGTAGTATGTACCTATTCCAGGTACAGGATGGAATAAATACAATACAACATAGAAATATTTATTAAGTATAAAGTATAATATAAAGTAATTATAACTACTTCTTTTGTTTCCTCGAAGATTCTGATTTTTTGAATTCTCTTGCATGTTGTAATATAATAATATTAAATTCGGAGTGTGGCGCTACCATCATTTCAATTTTTCTTGTTTTTATTCTTAAAATCAAGATGTCGTCGAAGATATCCTGTATTGTAAAGTTTTAATAAAAAAATGGCATCTTAAAATAATATAAGGATATATTGAAATTGTAACGATTTACTTTCTTTTTAAGTTTGACCTGTAAACATTATAAATATGTATAATAGTAGAATGAAACCGATTTTTATTAATTAAAGATCGTTGATTCGTCTTGATAACGTGAGATTTCATGGCATGTATTTTAATAAAAAAAAAAGAAGATAAATCGTAGCCCGTAGGCATGAACGAATGTGGTTAATTCCAAGTAGGCACCAACTTAGGCGTTTCAAAAAAAAATTGTAATGAAAATGTATATATAATAAAATTGTAAAAATAAAAATTTTAAGAAGCGATCAAAAAATATACATAACTTTTAAGTAATAATAATAATTTGGGATAGACACACTGCGAGGTGGCTCACTTAATCAGTAGGCGGTGTACTATGAGAGTTGCTCGTAGTACTTCTCTGATAACAGAGTAGTCCGTGGGCGTAACCCCTTGGCCTTGTGGTCTGCTTCGGCAGACCTGCCATCGGGGCGTTGTCACGAGCCCCATCAAAACGGGCAGATTTTGTTGCGTTTTAATGGGATAGTAATGGCTTTTCCAACTGGTGAATTCCTTCACATAACCACCTGTATGTATGCAGGTGATATGCGAAAACGTATATCCCAACGTTAAAAAAACGTTATTATTATTTATCATTATTAAAATATTAACGTAATGAACAGATAAGAATCTATTTAAATTACAATTTCCTTAGTGCTGTTTCGAGTCATCTCACCCAAGCGTTTTAATGCCAGACTGTAGTTTGTTGCACCATTGAGGTTAATACTTGTTAATATTGGGACTCCTGTAAAAAATATATTTTAAAATATTATTTTACTTATATTTATTTATATTGTAAAATTGTTACCTACTTTTTATTGTTTAATTTAATAACCGTTACAAAAGACCTGACGACCGATTTTTTAAAAATAATCGCGGACGTAATAACAGTCATGAATAATTTAGTACGATCATAGGATTTTTAATTATAAGGTCAAGCCTGATCTTGGTAAATAAAAAGTTAATAATAAAAACTTAAAAAAGAAACAACTTCCAGATACTAAAACTTAAAAAAATAACTGAACAGGAGGTTTCATTTAATAGATATTATATCCAACCAGTAACCTTATCAGATATAGTTGAATAGGTATCGTATTTTCGAATTTTCCAATCATAGATACGTATATATTTGATGACTTAAAAATCTTTTAATGGCGGTCGGATTAGTACCTATAGCGGGTGTATAAAGCTTAATGCCACACTTTTATTTTGCACATCGAAATCTTTTATTTCTATAAAAGTAAACTGGGTACGCTCATAATAATTATAAGCGGAAGTGATGTAATATTTTTTGCACGCAGCAATAATTGTACAACTTCAGGGTTGACGACGCTTAATGTATGAGTTAAAAAAGTCTCTTTTTAAAATTAATTTCTTAGATTAATATAAAATTATTAAATGAAATAATGTAGTTAGTCTTAAAATTAAAATTATTCTCTGAATTACCGACCGTTTAATAATACTGTCATAGCACATTAGAAAGATGCTCATCGAAGTCTTCGTTAGCATTCCATATTTAAAAACAAAACTATTCAACTTAAAAAAAATGACAAGTACTAAAAAGTTTTAAATTTAAATTAATTTCATTTAATTTTAACAAGAACTTAGGGGCTTATTGTAGTATTTAGAGCTTAGTGTATTTTTGCTTAAATGTTACTGTTGTATTTAGAAATGGCATCTTAGCTTAAAAATAAAAAAATATAGTTCGTACATACCTTCTTCGTTTGTCATGATCACACCTTCAACAGAGTCATCCTCCATAATCCTATCGACGATCGGATTGACATCATTTAAAGAAGAAGTCTGATTAAAAAAGAATAGTTTAGTGCGTAAATTCTCATGATTATTACAAAATAAAATGAATGAGGAAAAGGGATACAGAAAAACGTTTTCAATAATATTGAGTAAGTATATATTTCATTTTAAATATTGTATTCAGCCCTTTTTAACGTCCCACAGCTGGGAGTGGGCCTCTACCCCACACCCAACAGCTTTCACCACGGTGGTGGGGGGTGCCCAGCAGTGGGATAGAAAAAGATGACAAAATGAGCTGAATTATTAGTAAATTGGAGTTAATTTAATATATTTTACTTACAGTCTTGACCAGCCATTCATCGTGTGAGGCCTTTATTACACTTGATAAATGCATTGTTAAAGTTATTACAACCTACAATTATATGAAATAAATAAGCGTTTACAATTTATTTCTGAAAAATAATCACTAATATTATAATTGCGAAAGTGTGTTTTTGGTTTTATTTTCAATTTTATACAACGGAACAAAAGCAACTGGAATTAAAAAATAGGTTACATTTTCCCGTACATCAAATGAAAAGCTATTTAGGTACGCTAAAACTGCGTAAACATATGTTTTTAAAATGGTACAATTTTAATAAAATATATGCATTTTTATCAACTAAAGTTCGTTTTAGTATAATTACCTATTTATTTTCTTTACACGTTTCTTTTTAGCTGTCTTGTGTACTACACACGCGTTGAAGTCTTTGTCGGGGACCACCATGATTTCGATCCCGTTGGCCTCGATTCTATACGCTAATAGCTTATCGAAAATGTCCTGTTAAATGTTATTTTGTTATATATTAAATAGATTTGCCAAAAAATATTAGTTTTACTCTCAAGCGTTAAATTAATTAATTATTCGTATAATATCTAGATTTTTTTTGCTGTTCATAATGTTTTGCAAAAGTATTTATACAATTTTACCAAAAATACCAAAAAATATTTACAATATCCCCTATGGCAAGTTTGAAGGATAAGCTTAGATGTGGCAAGTGTCGGGAAAGTATTTGCAGCATAGCTTCCGGTACTGTGTACAGTTGTAGCTGATCTGTAGAAAGTATTATTATCTGATATTTTAGTGTAATATTTAATTAAAAGTATGTTTTTAGAAGCAAAATTTCTGGAATTTTATATACCCAATAAATATATAATATAATAAATATGTAAATTTCCGCTCCACCCTAATATGTATATAAAATATATACCTTTTAATAATGTATATTAAATTCCGGCATGATGGTGAACGTGTGTTAGTAATTTTTACAAGGCTTGACTGATTTTGATAATTTTTTTGGGCTTGTGGGTCACCTGAATGGTTCTTAAAATTATATTTGGGTACGGTAGATTGTCGAAATTTTAAGTTTTGATTTTTAATTATCAATAGGTTATAGACGTCTCAAAGGCGTTATATATTTATTATAGATAGTGCCTACCCATTATTTTACAAAAACGATTTCAAAAATTTAAAAATGGTACCAAAGTTCCTTTAGATTTTGTTGATATTTATTTCTAAACATTAAAAAAAAGTATTATAATTAAATATACTTAGCAATATTATTTATTTAATTTTAGTTGTGTAGTAGTTGTAGCTGTCATTATTATAAATATTAGAATTATTTTAAAAACTTTATTAATTACTAATATTGCCTAATATTAATTAAGCAATATTATTGTTTATATATAATATAAAAGAAGTTAAAATATTATTTTTGCTTGCTATTATTTAAAGTTTAAATATTCAACAACACTATTGCCACCTTTGTAGACAATAATTATTAATTAGAATTACTGTTATTATTGCGATTCACACAGTATGAACTAACTACAACTACTGGTTAGTTCATACTGTGTGGTTTGTTAATAATAATTGTTTTATTTAAAAAAATTAGATAAGAAAAAAAAGACAAATATTTAATAGAGAAAAATACTTACCGTTCTGTAAATGCATAATGCCCACAACGTTAGGATTGTGTTCAATACGTGATATGATGTTCTTTGTGAGTTCGTCAAATTCCTGTAATTAATACAAATTAACTTTGTAAGTGTATTTACACAGTAATATAATGAAAATTTGACTCATTACTCGTTTCAGACATTATATTATGATATACATCCAATTATATAATAATGCAGTTATTTTTTGGATATCCCTTTTTATTAATGTTGGGGAATGCATTTACGCATACCACCTGTATACATACAGGTGGTTATATACTCACCGGCTAGAAAAAACGAGTACTATTCACTAAAATCTAATAAAACCTCCCCCCGTCTTGATAGGGTGTCGCAGCTTACGCACTCAACCACGACGCCCAGTGCTGGATTTACCCTAGGGGCACTCGGGGCTAGTGCCCAGGGCGGCAATTTTTCAGGGGCGGCAAAATTCGAAGGGCGGGAAAAAAATTCTTCGCGTTATCGAAAATGCTTTTTTTATTTTGCAAAAAATGAGAAAAAAAGACACTACTAGTTACATTTTTCGAAAAATTGATATCATTTATAATTTTTTTTTTCATTTTTCAAAAACTTATTAATGAAAAAAAATTAAACTTTTAACATTTTGTTCAAAATTTCGATAACAGGGCGCGCCCGGCTGGATTGCCAGAGGCTAATGAGCTCCCCCCTCCCTCCTTACCTCCCTCCCGCCCTCCGTTTGGGGATATATGGGATGAGTCTAGATAAACCCGTAAATATTATGGAACATACAAAATAACTTAATAAAAAAAATTGGCTGATTAAGGGGAGACTCGTGCCCAGCAGTGGGACGTTAAAAAGGGCTGAATACAAGATAAAATTGTTGGTTGATATGTAAATATGTCAATGTGGTTATTGTCTAAGTTTATACTTACACGTGGTATATCGTGTACACGAGTATTTTTCTTCTCACTTGATGACATTTAAAATATATATAGAATCAAGAGTATAAAAATAAAACCTATATATAAAATATATGAGCTTTAAAAATAATCCGCCATATAAATATAATCTTGTAAATCTCGTAGGCTTTCACAAAAGTCAAAATATTAAAAATGGATCACAGTAAGTAGATAATAGGGGCGAGCTTCTGCCTAGAGTTCGCATTGTTAAAAGTCTGTATTTAAGTCAGTCTTTAGAAGACATTCGCTTTAATATTATGGTCTCAAATCTAAAATCAGACTCTACTACTGTATCTGTAAAAATGTGCATGTATGTTTGTTATTCCTTCATCCTGAAAGGGCTCAACAAATTTGAATGAAGTTTATCACACATATAGGCTGTGACCAGGAGTAACACTTAGTTTAATATACTACTGTTAGACACCCAGGAACAAATCCCAGCAAACCGAGGGTAAGTTGCTAGATGCTAGTCAAATGTATACTAATAAAAAGAGGTAAAGTTTGTGAGTTTGTGACCTTGAATTTTATCCCGGACATCATCCCTTAAGGGGGTGAAAATAGTGGTAAAAGTTTGTATTGGAGATCAAGCTAGGGACGAACCCGAGCAAAGCGGGGGTGAGTACAATATAAAGCAGATAGTTGTTTTCTAGGCAATGCTAACGAGATTAATGCTCATCGATGCAAAAAGTTATCGTTTCCTTCTAGTAATTTGTAACACAGTGTCTCAAAGAAGTATTCGCCTACACATATTTAAAAAAAAACACAGATCTCGTGTTTGCCACGACCTTCAGGTAAATTGAAAATAAATAAAAAAATTTAACATATTTATCAAAAAATTACTTAATTAAAAAGGAAATTAGTTTATACTATATCTACTTGTAGTTTGCAAAATATTAATATAGTTATGTATACATAAAGCGTTGCTACAGTTTAATAGATCTTTTTGAGAGGATGTTTTCATATAACTCTATTGGATTACGCGGCGCACGCGAGTAAAGCTCCCAATCGGCATGATTTTTTCCGACATCCTCAACGTTTATCGTCATATTTCAACCAATTTACAAATCATCACGTCAATCCGTTGGTGAAAACTAGATGAAAACTGTTCGGTAGTTTTTAAGTTTATCGCGTTCAGACAGACAAACAGAGACAGATGCGGCGGGGGACTTTGTATTATAATATTATGTAGTGACAAAATTATTATGGCTAGTAGTCTTGAAAAATGAAAGAAAATCGTCTAGCAATACCTATCTAGTAAAATATAATTTTACCAAAACAAACATGGAAGCTTAATGGAGAACGTTGCAGATTACCAACGAGTAAAAAAGTTTGGGAAGCATTAATTTTTGTTCAAATAAAAGTTTTTAATTAATATTCGCTCCTTTTAATCGACGCTCTGCGGCTTGGAAACTTGTCATTCGTTTCACCGAGTTTAAAGCCGATAGTCTACTGTGTACTGTTTTCTGACATGATATTCTAAAATTCCTTGTATCTTATATGTATATATATATATATATATATATATATATAATTCTTCTGTACGTGTGTATGTCACTAAACTCCTCCTAAGCGGCTTAACCGATTTTAATAAAAAAATTGTTTGAGCTTAAGTGGGTCTTGGATTTTTTAGATAGTCGTCGGTTTGATCGATCGTAGTCGATTGTAGTCGGTTGTAGGATTTTTTTAATTTTATATACATTACACACGTACAGAAGATTTATTAGTATGTTTGTATTTAAATTTTTTATTCATACATCATCTCGCCAAAAATTAATTAAATTCCAATTTTATTCTGAGAAGTCTCGGGACTTTCATCAAGGGTGGTCTCGTGTCCCGGGACTTTAAAAATGTCGGGACTTCCCAAACTCTAATAAGAACTTACACTTTTTGTAGAAGTCGGTTAAAACCAATGAGATCTAAGCATCCAGTGATCTGTATGATTCCTCCCATCGCGCCGAGTAGATACGACCGCGGCACAGTTTAATCATGTTCCAATTATTTTATATAAGTAATTAAAAAATTCACTGCAAGTGACACTTGAATCCTTTTAAATTTCAACATGAAACAATTGAGAGCCGAGAATATCCACGAGTTACGAAATGCACCCCATTTATTTGGAGGTACTTGTGAAAATCGATCGATTTTTACGTGTTTTGTATGCAGAATATTCGCGTGCGTTTAAGAATTTAACGCGTATTTTAAAATACAAATTTAACAAAAAATAGAAATATTTGTTAATATATAATTATAATCAATATATCCGTAAAACACCGCCAGGTAAATTTCTAAGAAATCAATTGTTAACTGTAACGCCGGCGTGTCCGCGATCGTTAAGGGAATAAATATGTAAAAATATTTATTTTAGTTAGTTGATTTCACCAATATTACTTATTTCACCGACTACAAAAAATGGCAAACTCTTTAAAATTACTTTAAAAGTTGTTATTCCATCCGTAAATATTGAATAAATAAAATCCGACTTCAAACAAAAGCACTAAAAAGTAAAAAATAACTGATTGGTAGTTTTCATTTACTATACATACCTAATCAAATATTTTCGAAGTCGGTGTGCTTTGCTTTGTATCGGCTGGCACACGCTTTCAAATAAAACAAAAATTGTCCAAATCGCCTTATAAATGACGGAGTTCTGAGGTAACAAACATAAAAAAAAATACAGCCGAATTGAGAACCTCCTCTTTTTTGAGGAAGTCGGTTGACAATTTCTTTCTTTCGAGAAAATCTCAAGAAAAAAAGTCTTCCATGTGAAAAAAGAATCGTAGCAATTGATTCACTATTGAAGATGGTATAGCATAACACAATAGAATGTACCAATAACACCCGAATTGAATCGGAATCAAATCCCCTCCATTTTTGAAACCGGTGTGGAAGAATAAAATGTATAAGAATGAGGTAAACTTTTGTTCAGAATGGAGAAGAAGATGAAATGAAAGTTTTCAAAACACTTTGCAAAAAAGAGAGAGAAAAAAAAAACAAATTCATTGTGTTTGGTTTTTTTATCAATAAGAAGGATAACCTTGAGAAAATGAAAATGGCGAGCGTTATTGTGTTTGTCACACAGTATATGGATTAAAATTAAGTCTCTAATTGTTTTCCGATATCGAAAAATTCAATTTTCAAGCAATATTTTGTAATATTTATGCCTTGCAATAGATGGATGGCAAGGAACACAGCTGAGCTCCATTATTGTAAGTGCTGAATAAGAGCGGAAGTAAAACGTAAACTACATGCTATTGTACGAGTAGTGTTTTGTTTGAAATATAAGGTAATTTTTAAAAAATTTTAAAAGTAATACAAAGAGAAATTTCTAAAGATTAGAAATTCTTAAAAAAAAAGAAAAGTCCCTAAGCAATAGTATTAAATTTGCTATATTAAGGTCATTATAATCATAGAAAAACACTATCTACTGATTGATTAAATTGAATGTTAGGTATAGAAATATAATTTAACTGAAATCTTGTATTTATATGGCCCTTTTTAACGTCCCACTGCTGGGCACGGGCCTCCCTTCAATACGAGGGGGATCAGGCCGTAGTCCACCACGCTGGCCAAGTGCGGGTTGGCGAAAATAGTTTAGTGCCTTTTTCTCCTGTGTTTGTCAACTGACATTCTTTTTTTTGTTCAGTAGTAATAAGTCCATACAAACAATAAAAAACTAAAATAAATAAAATTAGAATTAAATAGGTATATAAACTTATTAACTTATAAAAATAAAAGTGTTAAATGTATAAAAAAATCTAAGATTGTTTGTGTGTATATGAACTTATCACTGTAGTTATCTAATCTGTATATTAATTAAAGCTCTATTATTATTAGTAATAGACGAGTTTACAAAAACTCGTTATCATAAAAAAAATGATTGTTATCAAATTTCTAGCGTTGCACAAGCACTAATACTTATAAAAATTCCAATCGGTACGACAATGATAAGATGTTCAAAATTGACTTCCTAAATTGGATAATATAACTAATAGAAAAGAAAATAGCACCGTGTTTTTTACCGACTTCCAAAAAAGAGGAGGTTCTCAATTCGTCGGAATCTTTTTTTATGTATGTTCACCGATTACTCGAAGACGCCTGAATCGTTGATAAAATAATTTTGTAAGTTGTTAAATGTTATATATAGGAATACTAGCAACTCACCCTCGCTTACGTACGTGACGTTACGGTACGCTTTTACGGTTAGTATTCAATAGATAGACTACATAGGTATAGAAAAGTAGGTACAAAAATAAAATATATATATCCCTTATTTGAGAAATGATTGATTTTCCTTACGAACTACCATCCCACTTTTCATCTCTTTAAGGGATGCTTTCCGGGATAAAAACTATCCTATGTCCTTCCCGGGGTCTCAAACTATCTCCAAACCAATTTTATCTAAATCGTTCCAGCGGCTTAAACGTGAAAAGGTAACAAACAGACAGACAGAATTACATTCGCATTTATAATATTGGTATGGCATCATAAAAGTATACTTCTAAAGTTATTCTACACGCATAAACTCGTACGACGCGTCTATCATGTCATTAATAAATTTTCTTTATGTTATGTGTAATTCGTTTTGGTGAGATTGTTAATTTATCGCTTCTGTGGTTTTATAAGAAGCTATCTTCTAAGTTCTACGTTTGATCTTATTAGGCTTTTATTATGTAAAGGAAAATAAATTAAGTATTCGGTCGGTGTTAAAAAGATCAAAGATATTATTGACATAACTTTAGTAGACTTGCTTCGATCATAGATTTTTCTCAATAAATCCTACTAGAAATATTACGAGCGTGAAAGTTTGTGAAGGTGGTTTGATGGATGGAAGTATGTTTGTTACTCTTTCATGCAATAACTACTGAACGGATTTTGATTTAACTTTACAGTAATAATATAAGGTTACTGTTAGTAATTAAAACAAATAAAAGCGTTACTTGTATGTACGATTATGAACAAGAAAAGTCAAAAGGCACTAATAAAGTGACTACGTCGTATACTAGCTATACATACTACAAACATATATACCTATATATAATAAAATTGTAACCCGAAACTGTACATTAAATATTTTATGCAAAATCTTATTGAAATATATATACATTATTATCGATACAGAGGCCGAATGTATAGTTCTTAGAATTTTTGTCTGTTTGTCTGTCTGTGACCACTGGAGGGATTTTTATGGGTATGATGATAGCTGGTAATCCAGGTCAACATATAGTTTTTACCGCGGGAAAATATCTCATCTCTGAGAAATTTATACTAAACCTTAAAACGTAATAAAATTATTGTAAAACTTTTGTTGTTCATTTTAATATATCACCTTTATCATTACACTTCGCAATTTATCTGAAACACGTTTCAAACTTCCGACTTGCCAACATAATTAATACAATTTTATGAGTGTTGAAACGCGGTAGTTTCGGTTGTGATGTCTTTACTAAGAGCTGCTGTTTATTGCTTGTAAACTTGCGCCATTATCCGTGAAAGATGGACTGAATTGTAGGAATTTTTATAACTGTTTTTCATGACTTGCACTGAAGTGATGCTTCAAGTTTGTTAATTTAGTATTTGAGTAAGCGTTCTTTGTCTAACTTTGAATTAAGTAATTTCCTTACTTTCCAGTATTGTATTGTCATTTTGGTATAACATTATCTGTGGGTGCTTGTTATTGTTTTGATAAAACTTTTTAGATTTATGCGAATATTTGACATTTTAAAACTATACATATAATAAAATTGTAACTGTCTGTCTGTCTGTCTGTTACCGCATCACAGAAAAACCACTGGAAGGATTTTGATGAAATTTGGTATAGTTATAGCTGGTTATCCGGGTCAACATATAGGATACTTTTTACCGCGGAAAAATATCTCATTTTTGAGAAAAAATACAAAAACCGCATTGTAAGAGTATACTAATATGTAAAACCTAAGAATTTGGTTTTTGGTCATCTGAACGCGGACGGAGCCGCGGGCAATGCTAGTCAAAGTATATTTTCATATTCCAATTTCAATAAATTAATTGGTGACCTTAGAGGTCATTTAAAATTATACAAAGAAAAAGCACTTTTAGTTTCTTTTTATTTCTTCAAAAGTTTAATTTATACTATTACGAATATTTAAAAAAATAGTGTTTTTTTAGCAGTTCTCAAGTTTTTTGTACCAAATAAGCTCTGAAACTACTGAATTGATGTAGATATAATTTGATAAGAAGATAGATTGATACCCTGGGAAGGACATGGATAGTTTTTATTCCGGAAATCATCCCTCAAGTGGGTGAAAATGGGGATGAAAGTTTGTATGGGGAAGCAATATCTTATAATATTAAGTGAGCAATTCTTGTATATATGTATATAAATTTATTTCGTGTCTCTCGGACACGGCTCTAACGACTTGGATCAAATTTTGCATTTAGATAAGATTTTGCTATTTGTTTATCTATATAGGTGTCCTGGGAACAGACATAGCCTAGGTTTCCTTTGAACGCCGCCATTTTATCACGCGAACGAAGCCATGGACAAAACTATTTATTTTCAAAATAACTTTGATGTCAACGTATACCTAAAAAAATATTATTTATTCTGGTTTTGTTTTTTTTAACAAAAACCGGATGAAAAAGACCGCATTTTTACACATTTATTTGATTTAAAAAAAAATGAGTTTTTTTTGCGTTCTGTAGCCCTCGTCGAGACACGTCTTTTGACATCCTAATCAGCCACGTAGTCCCAAAACCCACGACACCAGGGCGATGTAGCACTTTCGCTGAAAATAGGGCCTATACAGAAGCGACAAAAAAACATATTCAGTGTTAAAAAAGTAAATCGGTTGACAAATAAAGAAGAAAAAGGTACGTAACTGTTTTGTTAAGTATCTTTGCCTATTTATATATAGTGTGATCATCAGTCACTAGTTGGTAGTCAAAAGTTTTCTCGTATCTACACTGCCTCTGACTCATTCTAGGTTAATGTTCCGTAATTTATATAAAACTAGAATAAAATGTAAAATTATCATTTTACCACTATATTGCCTCTATCAGGTAAATGCTCAAACTAACCTGCATTTCCAAGAAAAATATGCATAATGAATACCTTTTAATATGTAAATAAGTAGTAAACTTTAAGCGTTTCAAGATTGCTGTATTAAATAAACAGACTTTAGTAATTCATTGTTCCTTCGTTCCGCAACTTTCGGAACATTCAATTCATGTAATATTAAAATGCTGGCGGAAAGTTCTCGAAGCATGAAAATTTCAAAATCAATCGAAAGCTTGAGCTAGACCAGACTTAAGGATAGTGACTGGATTCAGGAATAATAAATGAGTGTCCGTTCAGTCCGGTGTATAGAACGTATAACTTAATAAAGTTCGAACTCATGTATTTCAGATTTTAGATGCTGTAATAAAAATATATTGTTGCATTTTATTTTTCAGAATGGTTTTAGTGAATTCTTAAATCGTATACTTACGGGACTTAATAGAAAACGTGCTCTAATGTTGCGGGCATATAATTGGATAAAAGCAGGAAAATATATATAGAGGATAATCTAATCTACTAGAGGAAATATTAAATGGAGTTGGAGGGACGGAAAGGGGTCACTTGGCTTTTAAATTTCTATAAGGTAAAAAATACTATAGATTGATTTAATGCTAGTAGCACTACGCTATCATTATCAAAATCCTATAGCATCACTCGTGTGAGTGTCTGTCTGTCACACAAAATTTTCTCTAAATCGGAAAAAGCTGAAATATTGTACATAATTTGGTGTTGGTAACCCAATAATAAAGGTATATAGTAAATAAAAAATAATAATTTTAGTATTTTATTTTAGGGATAGTATTAGAAAATTAATAACTAACTTTACAGGAAAAAATAACGTCCTAGGTTTTCTTTCAGAGTTCTATAATCTCAGGAATCTTCCTTCATGTGAGGCCATTCGTGTATGTTATTCAGTAGAAGGTAAAATTTAACTAATAGATTTGATTCAAAATGAAAGATAAACATGATGAATTACAAGAGAAATATTTTTTTTATTATTATTTACGATTTAAATTGTCACAGTTATAAACAATTAAATTCACCCTGGTATTGTGATATCCAAAAAGAGGATTGAAAGAATTGACACAATTAACGATATGACTGCTTTCGATTTTTTTTTATTAAGAATTATAATTATATAAAGGTTTTAAAAAATAATAACAATGTACAAAAAAGACAGTTCATTTTTAATTAAAATGCACATAATTTATAAAAAATATATTTGATAAATATCATACAAATAAACTATGAGCACTACATTAATTGTAAGACTAAAGGCTGCCTAGTTTGCTTTCTAATCGACTTAAAAATTCTTTAATACTTTCAATTTCTAAAGAAATCTGGTCCATTTTAACATTTAACTTTTCTATTGGACACTTCGCATTTTCTACATACTCTTCTACTTGGTCCTTCACTTCTGTGACGCCATCATCCAAACTGTTAAGACGTTTAATAATTTCATCATATTTAACTTTGGGCAGTTCTTGAACATCGGCCTTTACTGTTTCAGGTGCATTTATCGGCTTACCTTCTTTTTTAGTTAATACTTCGTGCATTTCAAAGACTTTTGTTCTAAATGATTCCCAATTGGATTCCATTTCCATTTGCTTCTTTTGCTGTTGAGCTTTATCTAAAATCGCATTTCTTATTCGTGATGGGATTGAGTTGTGTATTCGCCATCTTGGTTGACCAGGACAAAAGGTAATAGTAGACATAACCTTCCTTTTATATCGAATGCGATGACTTATACTGTTCGGTAAAACTATATTAAATAACTTATTGTAAACTAAGTTATCTAAAGTTCCTAAGAATTCCACCTGTTTTACCAGTCGTCGAATATTTCCCAAGACTTCTAAATCATTTATATCATTAACAGCTACACCAACCATTAAATTCATTAAAACAATTGCGGCCAAAATGAGGAAAATAACAAAAATTAGGCGCACTACAATAAGCGATGTTGCTAGCTTATCGGTATGATCCTCATCAAATAAAGCCTCGTAATCAAATTCTGATGTCATCATGACCATAGTTTTGACAAAGGCAGCCCAGGGACCATCGAATGGGATCTCTGAATGAAATTGTATCATAAAACTTAGAGAAAATCCAATAACTAAAAATGCGAAGGTGAGGAGAATCTGCAATAGAACAATTCAAGATATTAAAATATTGACCAAACAAAAAATATGGACTATGTCACGTCATGTTACTAATTACTACTGCTCCAATATATTTATCTAAGATATAATTTGTACAATAATTGTCTCGTATTATGAACACGCGAGTATTTACTCTTTTCCATATTTTAGCGAAATGAAATTATTAAAAATCTTTGAAGAAAATATATAGCGTTGCAGGCTGCAGCGATATTTACTAAAATCTAATATCTATGTAGTTTCACGCAGGGAAAAGATAATAAAATTACACTCTTTCTTATCTATTTTAAACCATTATTGATCTAAATCTCAAATTAAAAATTTACCCAATGAGAATATGGCTCCTGTCACCCTCACTGAAAAATAGTTAGTAATATTTGCTTATAATACAAAAAAATATATATAATACCTTTACGACGTTAGCTGCGACTTTGCCAAACATAAGTACATAGTATCCCCAGTTGGGAAATCTGGATAATAGGAACATTAGTTCTATCCAGGATAAAAGTAACGCGCATGTAGCAACATGTCTAGGCCAATCGGTTGTGGATACTAGCGCGACAATTACGGGCAGACTTGCTGCAAGTATCAAAGAGGAAAACTTGATCCAGGTTTCCAATTGCCAAAAATATCGGGAACTTTTAATGTTCATGTAAAATATTTCCTGAAAAAATGTTATGGTAAAATCATGCATCTGAACAGTCTTGACAAGTATTTATGTCTAAAGAAGTAGTAGAATTCAGATTATGTCATAAAATCTGTCTTTGTCTAGTTACGTGTGTACAGACTGACAAGAAGTATTTTTTTAATAAAGTACTGGTTTAGCTATTGACGAGCTACGACGATAAGGATCATTTGACGAGTCATAAATGTCTCTTCAAACGATCCTCATCATCATCATCCTCAGTCGCAAAATGAAGTTACATATCCTAGCATAAACGACATTTACCATCACTTTTTTGCCTAGGAAACTGATAAAAACGTATCTTTGATATTTATTTATTTAATTTATAACAGTTTTAATGATAATATATAATATTCAATAAACGTATACTTACTTCTACAATTATTAAAATTATCGTGGAATAAATCATATATTCCCATATATTAGGGTTTAAAGCTACCGGAACATCTAAGTTAGAGTCTTTATAAAAGAATACACCTATTGTGAAGATCGTTAAGGAGCTGACAAAAAGAGCATAAACAGCGATGATTGTGTAAAAAAATGGAAGTAATGCTTTCCATTTCAGATATAAAAAGCTTTCCACCAAAGGATGTACCAATAGTCTCCTTTGACTATGTCTATTACCAGTCTTTAATAGAGCTTGTATTACTTTCATTTGCTCCATTTCGCATATACTCGGCATTAATATTCTATAATCTACAGTCACTTCGCATTTTGAATCTTGGAAATTTTGCGAATTCGAACAGATGTATGAATCGAACACTTCTTCCAAATAGTCAGTTGGTCTGGATAAATTGTGAATAATCATATCTATGGCTGTCTGTCTATATTTCTTAGGTCCATCCGTATAACACGACAGGTCAGCTCCTTCTTGTAAAAGTAAAGTTATAATTTCCCTGCTTCCATTATGGCTTGCAGTATGTAAAGGATACCAGCCGATACTATTAACTTCGTGTATCGTTGTTCTGTCACTGCTTAAAATAACTTTGGCAATTTCTTCATAATTTTTCGACGCAGCCAAGTGTAGTGGTGTCGAACATTTGTGGGGACTAGAAGTTGTACGCAATCTTATATCAGCGTTTTTGGATATTAAAAACTTTACGCATTCTATATTATTTTCTAATACGGAGAAATGTATAGGACCAAAGCCTCGTCTGTCAGGAGATGTGAGATTATTAATCATATCTTTAGCCATGCCATCTTTATATTCCAGTAATAGTTTTAAAATATCTATGTGACCATATTCAGCTGCTACGTGTAATACGTTAACTTCACCAAGCATGGTCATATTTATTGATGCGCCTTCATTTAGTAGTGTTTCTACACAAGATAAGTGCCCATGAATGATGGCTTTAAACAAAGGCGTTTCTCCTTCGTCATTTTGGTAGTCAATAAAGTTTCTTTGTTTTGCTAAACTTAATATTTCGTTTAATACATCTAGATTGCCAAGAGTTGCTGCTGAATGGAGAGGAGTGTCACCGTCGTTCGCCTAAAATGTTGAGTTTTTGAATAAATTTGAGAAACTTGTAAAAATCTAACTTATACAAATACTTCACTAAAGATGTATCTAATATGTTTAGTGAAATATTTGTATAAGTTAGAAATATGTAATCGGTTTATTTTAACTGCATCTTTTAAAAAAAAAATATTATATTTTTTTCTTTTTTTTATATCATATGTAATTTAAAAAAATCTATTCGGTTAAAAAAATATTTTATTATACTTGTTTTATATAAAAAAAATATGTTAAAGATTTTGTCTAAATGATTTTTTCATTACTTGGAATCGTGCTATAAAATGATTTCACCGCCACTCCACCTCCACCCACTTTGTTTATTTTCTTAATAATTACTTAGGTATAAAAAAACTTTTTTTTTAAACTGCGTTTTTCCAGGAAAGACACCTATATAGATAAACATGAAAAGCAAAACCTTAATGTAAATACATAATTTGATCCAAATGGTTCGAGCCGTTTCTGAGATACACGAAATAAATATAAAAGAATTGCTCATTTAATATTATAAGATAAGATTAATTATAAATTACAAGGAATAATAGACAGATTGATACTTAGTATGATTATTGCTTTTTAGAGTTTGTTTTCTAAAATTAATGCGGTACGCACCGTTACAGTAACGTCAGCTCCTGACTCCAGTGCGATGCATACGCCGGGAACCCACGCGGCTTCTACGGCAGCTTGCAATACTGTATGTCCGTCTTTATCTTTTACATCTACCATCGCTCTCATAGGGTCTGCGTCTTTGTAGGCGTAGTTTGCTAATATCTTAAAATTAATTATCCATATTTAATTATTATATATATATATATATATATATATATATATATATATATATATATATATATATATATATATATATATATATATATATATATACTAGCGACTCAACCTCGCTTCGCTCTGCTTCCCCTTACTCCCTACTCCCTAGATTGATTCCCCATACAAAAGTTTATCATCATTTTCACCCCCTTAAGGGATGATATCCGGGATAAAAAGTATTCTATGTCCATCCCAGGGTCTCAAACTATCTTCTTACCAAATTTCATCTAAATCGGTTAAGTAAATCCACAGGTTACCCCCCCAACAACGTCACAAACTCACAATTCACAAACTTTACCTCTTTATAATATTAGTATAGACTAGCGACTCACCCCCGCTCCGCTCGGGTTCGTCCCTACGTTTCAAGGTTATATTTATCTATACTTATTATAAAAATAAGTCCCCCGGCCGCGTCTTTCTGTCCTCCTGTCTGTCCTCCTGTCTGTCCTCCTGTCTGTCCTCCTGTCTGTCCTCCTGTCTGTCTGAACGCGATAAACTCGAAAACTACTGAACGGATTTTTATACGGTTTTCAACAATAGAAAGAGTAATTCTTGAGGAAGGTTTAGGTATATAATTTATTATGCTTTTATGTAAATTAGCTGAAATACGGCGACAAATGTTGAAGAGGTCGCAAAAAATCTCGCCAAATGGGAACTTTCCACGCGAACGCCGCGTAAACTAGCAAAGATACAGTTAAGTAATGTACTAGAGAATTCAAAATCTATAAAAATGCTACAAAAAAGTCCGCGATAGCATATCTCTATCTCTTACGGTTGACTTACAATAACCACTTTTATGTTAACATTTTTAATTAAAAACATTACGTTATTTTCAAAGTTATTTTCTTTAGTTCGGTATTAATCCTTATCCAAATGAATATTTTAGTTAGCTTAGTCATTTAACACGTTCGCTGCATTACGAGATCTATCAGATCTCTTGCAGGACTTTTGTACTGTGCGTTGACTATAATCGTGTTGTTTCACTCCTTGCGGGAGGCTCTAACGTGTAAAGTTCTTTAAGTATGAGTAAGACAAATATACATATTTGCTTCCTACTTAAAGGTGAATTCGAGGACATAAAAAAAATAAATAGAGATGGATTAGGTCCCTAACGCACAGTAGTATAATTATTTTTATTCCTTGCGTTAGGAGACATGTCGATACTCGTGGAATCGTACGCCTCGTAGACGCAAGAAAGGGAGGTTGGGGGGCGCGGGCGCTGTGTGAATCGATTTAGTGTTGTCCTAGTGTCGACGTGGGAGGTTGCGCGCACGTTTCGAAAAAGTGTAAAAAAATTTTTATTTAATATATTTTATTTAATTATTTCATAAAATTGTTTTATTTTGGTGAGATTTCTAAGAATGAAAAATCAACGCTGGATTATAGTGCTGCATCGTCCACTTTATTACAATTTTGGAAAATATAATGCTTTTTATTACAGAATTCCCCGAAGGAAGATGTACAGATCATGTTTTCCAACGTGGCGACAAAAAAAGACGTTGTGTGGGTTGTTATGAAAAATTACGACGCACATTAAACAGCACTGACGCTTCTAAAAAAAGCTGAAAAAATACCATTTGCGCGCAATGCAAATAATCAATGTGCTTACTATGTTTTAATGAAAAACACTTTGCATAGTTTATAAATAAACTTCTTTAATAAAACTTTTTCAATCGACAACTGAGATTTTTTTTTATTCCCATAACTACTTACTACACATATTGAACTATCTTCGGTTGCGGTACGAGATACAATCGATATCTAATTTTTTTTTGGTATTTGTAGCTTATTCTAATGTCATAACTGCGTGCGAACCTAGCAAAATGTAGAGCAATAGGCTCTCTTGACCCACAAAAACTTTAAAATATATGTCATTAGTTTTTTGGAAGATATAAATTATTTTCAAAACTGTATTTTTAGGAGACTGATTAGGTCTCTAACGCACCAAAGGGTAGGCTAGTTTCGAGATCTTTTAGGTCTCCAAAGCACCAGCTGAAAGTTCTTTCAAAATGATGGCGCAGTGAACGTGTTAATGCAGATTAAAATTGCTCTTTACACTAAATCAATCAGATGAATAGTTTTTGAGATATCGTTGTTAGAAGTAATTAGTAGCGAAACATTTTTAATGCTTGGCGAGCATTGAGATGCCTACGGCGAGTCCATCCCCTCTGCCCCGCATCGCTCGACCGCCTGCTCAAGCTATATAAACCGGGCGATGTAGCGCGCGATCCTAGGATACTTTTTACCGCGGGAAAATATCTTATTTCTGAGGAAAAATACAAAAACTGCAATGTAAGAGTATACTAATATGTAACACCTAAGAATTTAGTTTTTGGTCATCTGAACGCGGGCGGAGCCGCGGGCAATGCTAGTATTATATAATTATATTTGCTTTAATTAATTATATATTTTTATTAATTCAAAAAAAAAAACTAATGACTTCGATAACTTTAATAAGTGAAATGGCAGTGGTTCCATTATAATTTGCCAAAGTTTCCTTAGGTAAAGGTTTGTTAATTCCATGTTCAATTCAAATTCCGGAACTCGAACCCAGGACCTCCGGGTGTGCAGCCGTATATGTTAGCCACTACACCACCGAGGCAGTTGCAGTTCGAGGCAATAACATAATATATAGCTTACAAGTTACCAATTTTGTTCGTGATGTCGTTAAGTAAAGTCATTAAATAATTTCATGTTATGAAATGAAATTTTACGGTAGGTACTTGAAAACTTCTTAAATAAGTTTTGACTACGACTTGTGAAGAAATTCTAGCTTTTATTTTTATTGTCAACTAGCGGCTCATCCTGGCTTTGCTCGGTTCCTAGGTACGTCATAAATATTTGCATGGATCTATTCTAAATATCTATACTATACAAGATCTGTAGAATATATATGATATTTATTATTTTTTCCAATATGACGTATGTTTGTAGATGATAGGTCCGCCACCATGTCCACCGACCCACACGTGGCCAGCGTGGTGGACTATAGCCTGATCCCCCTCGTTTTGTAGGGAGGCCCATGCCCAGCAGTGGGACCTTAAGAAAGTGCTGAATACAAGTCCACCATTATTGAGAGTAATCCGAAGTAGTGATTCCCATACAAAATAAACAGTTCTGAAGTTTTAGAATTTCCAGTTGTTATTATGAATTTTCCCTAGTTTTTTATATGTAAACCACCCCTGACACACCCCCAACAAACAATATAGGGATTATCGAAATCGGTCCAGCCATTTTTGAGTTTTAGCGAGACTAACGAACAGCAATTGATTTTTATATAACACTAGCGGACCCGACAGACGTTGTCCTGTCTACACGTCTTTAATTTGAAAATTTCAAACTTTTTTAATAATTTTTTTGATGAAAATTATTATTCAAATTGTGAATCTAAACCATTCCCAGATCCCCTTGAACACACACAAAAAATTTCATCAAAATCGGTCCAGTCGTTTGAGAGAAGTTCAGTGACATACACACTCACAGAAGAATTATATATATAAAGATATATAGATATATAGATTTACACTTATTCTTTCAGGATGAATAAGGACTATTGTGAAAATTATTGTAAAAGAATGACGGTAGACGGAAAGTGTTTAGTTGGCTGAAAAAAACGTTTGAGATATATGAAAATTTTACGTCAGTCAGAATAATTTATGTCACGGGTTCGAATCCCGCTAGATACAAATTTTTATTAGCCATATTATAATTCATTGGTATTTGATACGACCTAGATATGTTATACGAACCTCCAACGGAGGGCAATCTTCTTATAACAAAATAGACTAAGCATCTACCTGTAGAGCTGGTTCCAGTTTTTTTTTCACACAAACATGTAAAGGTGTTTCGCCGGCAGAATTCAAAATTGACACTGACACTCCAGCATCTAGTAAGGCGTTAATACAGTCAATATTTTCTAGTTCTGTAGCAGCATGTAACGGAGTATCCACGTTGAGACCAGCAGACTTCATGCTGTTGAATTGGCTACCAGCTCGCAGTAACATTTTTACAACATCTGTGAACCTAAAGGAGAATGGAGTCGTAGATTATTAGCACTAGCAAGCTTTTTATTATGTGAAATTATATGTTCATGTTTTCTTCTCGAGCTTAAAAGGTAAGATAGACGGCACCTGACATATACAGTTTTTGACGCTCAAAATGGTATTCCACTTATACATACAAACATATGTATGTCTAGAATTCTACTACGTAAATTAGAGAAGCACGCAAAAACTGATATTAACTATGTATGGATGCAGCCTTTTTTAACGTCCCTTGGACCTTCCATATAAATGGGATAAGGCCATAGATCACCACGCTGGCCAAGTATGGGTCGGCGGTCTTCACATGTCATGTTGGAAATGATTGGCATTTGAGAATATCATAGGACCGGGATTTGAACCCGTTTCATTCGGTTTCCCAAGTGAGCGCGTTACCAGTGGGCTATCGCTGTCTTGTTTATTTATTGCCTTGGTTTACTCTCTATATATTGACTGAATCGAATTTATTTTTACTAATTATTTGATTGAAAGACTATTTTGTCTATCTTATTTTTTAAGCATTTGAGGCTGTTTACTACTTTTTATACCTTTTAAAGATATAAGAATTGTTGTGAGTGCTATGATAACGTTTTCATTTATAGATATGTAAAGTGTTTTTGTTACAGAGGTACGGTACATTGCTTAAACTTGATAACCACTTAACTAGTCTACCGTTTTGATAAGTCTGCGTGGTAAAAGGAGGCTATATTTTTTAATCTACTAAGACTATCTAAATGAAACTTGTGTAACGATTTAATAAAAAATGGGTAATACTTTCTTAGATTTACGCGAATATTTGACATTTTTTGTTTGTAACAACTATATAATACCTTTGAGACATCTAACACCTAAGTCTCTCCCGTGACAGTGATTGCTGTAAAGCATTCGAAACGTCGGGAACCAAAATTTAAAATAAATCCGCGAAAAAATCCGAAAAGATAGTTTTATTTTATTTAAAAAATGGTTAAATACGAAATATTATACTTTCTTAGAATTACCCGAATATCCGACATTTTAAATAAAACTATTTTATCCGATTGATTTTTGGTTTCCGGCGTTTCAAATGCTTTCAGTCCTCGTCAAATTTGAAAAACAGTACCTATTTATCACATAATCCAAAATTTCAAAATAATCGTATTTTTGAACGCATTAATTATTTTTCTTAAATTTGAAATACTCACTCTTTATTGTTTACTTCTTTATCATGGTAATACGCTGTTCCGGCGACGTCAAGAGGAGTTCTGCCGAGGAGATCACAAATATTGGGATCAGCTCCTGCAGCTAAAAGTAATCTGGTGCAGTGTCTTCGTGCACGCGACGCGGCCACGTGGAGGGGAGTCCAGCCAGGTTGAAGTAATGGAAACTGTGATTAAACAGTATTTACTTCAATTCAATTTTCTTGTTAATAGCTTCAAATCATGCCATTTGCCAGTTGAGCACAGATTACTTCGAAAATGTCACGTAGAATGAAGAAGACATGAGGAGGGATAGGAGATAAGGATTTTTAAGACATAATTTCAAATTAGTAACTATTATCCATTATTAAAGGCAGTGGTAGCAAAGGCAGTGGTAGTCCAGTGGTATCGCGCTTGTTTGGGATACCGAATGAAGTGGGTTCAAATCCCGGGTCTCGCACCTCTGATATTTTCATGTGCGATTCGTTTTTAACATGATTACCACTTACGGTGAAGGAAAACATCGTGAGAAAAACTGCATGTTTGAGAGATCCTAGCAAGTTTTCGAAAGACATGTGAAGTCCGCCAACCCGCACTTGGCCAGCGTGGTGGACTATGGCCTGATCTCCCTCGTATTGAAGGGAGGCCCGTACCCAGCAGTGGGACGTTAACAAAAAAAGGGCTGAATACAACTATTATCCTATATGGTGAGGACTTCTCTCTATAGATGCTATAGACTCTGCTAAGGAAGCAAGCAAACATCTTTTTAAGAAAAGATATTTTGTGTCTAGATGATGAGTTACTTTGAGATAATACATACTTACAGTTCCTTTGATATCCATGCAATTATGATCGATGTTATCTTTCCATATTTTTGGCAGCAACATACTAACATCGCCTAAGTCGCATCTCATATTAACCATGTCTTTCGTAATTTTGCTAATTTTCCTAATATCTTCTTCAGCCTCTGATGACATGTCGTCATTGTCTACACGATTTTGTATGTCTGCAATGATAATAAAAAGAGAAACTTGCTTAAAATTATTTCAAATACACACTCAACGGCCCCTAATAGATTAGGGTTGGGGAACTACCATACAAAAATGGGACGTACACTCAGATCGTGAGAAATACTTTATAAACTAATATATTTCTACTATAATATAATTCTACTATATGACCTATAAGGTATAGAACCTGTATGCCGCTCATATGGTCACAACTAAGCCTTAGGCTTAGTTATCTAATTCATATTAGCATTCAATTTTATAAAAGTTTCACGGGAAATAGTTAAATAATATCTAAGGCTTCATGCCCTCCATTCTTACATAAATACTAGCGACTCACCCTCGCTCCGCTCGGGTTCGTCCCTGGGGTGGAGTCTGGGAGGACCACCCTTATCCTTATCACTTAGGGGTATGGAAAATAGATAGTAGCCGATTCTCAGACCTACTGAATACGCATATTAAATTTGGTAAAAATCGGTAAAGCCGTTTCGGAGGAGTACGGTAACAAACATTGTGACATGGAAATTTTATATATAAGATATAGATATATTGAATTTTGAATTAGCATGTGAGTTTAGGGTTCCGTGTCTAAAAAGGAAAAAATGATTCTTTATAGGATCAATTCGTTATCCGTCTGTCTGTCTGTTTAACTGTTGGTATGTCTGTCAAAGAAGCGTCCTTTGTCTCAAAGAAGCGTGGAGGTACCAAGTTCAAATTAATATCAAATACTGAGGTCTATCCTCTCCCTTGGACCTAAGAAAAAAATCAAACTTCTGAGTTTACCAAATCAAAAGATACTCGTACGTCCGTTCACGCCGCATATTTTGACTAGGCGTTAATAGAATCATGATTTTTTTTTGCGATTATAATCTGATTATTAATGTTGCATGCTACAAAACTCTCGGTGTGCGAATCAGACTCGCACTTGTCCAATTTCTCAAATTAAAAAATAAGTGTCTGAGTATAATTACAACAGCCAAACGTTCTATACAAATAATAATAGACGAATAATGTTCGAAGTACACATATATTTTTCACCAATTTAACAATCATTTTGCTGGTTTGAACATCACAATAACTATACATAGCCTACTTAGTATTATGACAGTTAATATGACAGAAGCAAAATAAGACGTTTGAGAATAATTCCGTTTTTACAAGACTCTAGGAGGTTTTTCAGCGTGAAATCATGGAGATTGCCCAGAATTTTATGGTTAGTACCTTTAAAAGAGCAACGTCTCGTGGTTAGGGAGTGTCGTAAATCTAAAATTGTGAAATGTTATTGGCACATTAAACATTTTATTATCCACTTTCATTAAGAAAGCAAATGTTCTCATTTATTACTTGGTAGCTCACGTGGTTTCCGCCTAATAGGGTTGAGGAAGTCATTTGTTAAGCAATATGCAATGTTAACAGAAAGGTATAGAGTAGAAAATTAAATACAGAGTTACGTATAGTTCTATAAGTCAACCAAAATAAATTAATATTTAAAAAAATCATTTTTAAAAACAAGCTTTTATATCATAAAAATTGTGTAATGTAATAAATGGGTTTATTGAAAGTTTAATTTCGTAATTTTTAAGTTATTTAGTCGTATTCTTCTCAGCAAAATCTTTCATTTAATATCCATAACATTTTGGTGCATAAAAAAAACATAGTCCGCCATGTTGGATTTACAATGACGTCACTTATCTAACCATGCATTGACATCTAAACTACACATGTATCAAAATTTCAGTTCAATCGGTTTAAGAAAACTGCTTTATAATTCAGTTGCCAGATTTGACCTGAACAAACATACATACAAACAGTGCAAGTTAAAAGTGTATAATGAATATAGTTGTGACTATTCTAAAGCGCTTTGATTAGATTCACTTGTAACTAATTTGATTCAAGCGACTTCCTGTTGCTTCGCTTCGATTCGTACCTGGGTTGGTTCTCCCATACAGACTTTCATCCCTATTTCCACCCCCTTAAGGAATCATTCCCGGAATAAAAAATATCCTATGTCCTTCTCAGGGTCTCTAACTATCTTCTTAACAAATTTCATCTAAATCGGTCCAGTAGTTTTTGAGCTTATTCGTTACCAACATATAAAAATACAAATCTTTCCTCTTTATAATAGTAGTGTAGACTATCATATCCATATTTTGAAGGTCGGAAGAGTAAACATAACAAAAATAATGTATTTAAAATTTTATCCATCTCTACAATTTTGTAATTAATTAACACAATTTGTATGTATACCTATATAAATATATTGTTTATAATTTCAGGGACCACTCGCCACAAATACTATGCGCAGAATCAATGAAAACGGAAATGTAGTGGGCACTATAATAGTAAATTGTGAAGGTATTTTTTGATATAGATAATATTTAGTTTGTGTTTAAAAGATATATCACCCATATTATAGTTTATAATAAAGTTTGTACGTAGGTATGTTTGTCATTCCTATACGCGGAAAGGGCTGGACGGATTTGGATAAATTTAGTACACAGAGAGAGCACAAGCTGGAGTAGGACGTAGGTTTCTACTAGGGTTGGGAATTTTCCTTAAAATGTGTATGGAACTAACTTTAAAGTATCCCATCCATTAAAAATAATCATAAAAATCGTTTCACAATTCTCGGAGATATCAGAATGACATACGCACGAAAATGAGACAATGAAGAACTTCCATTTTTTAAAGTCAGTTATACAGAGAAAACAAGCGCTACAGTGGAACTATAATATATCAAGTGAAGAAACCGTCTGATGTATTGACGGGAAAGAAAAAAGTGTTAATCAGTAATTTACATCGTGTCCGAATTAAATCTGCGACCCCTATCAAGACATATCATACTAGAGAGACCGATCCTTTAGTAAAAAAAAGTGCGTGTGTGTACAATTCACACATGGTAGAAGTGAAACTTCAGAAAAGTAACCTACGAGAGAATGAGATGAACATATTTACATAGAATATCAGGAGTAGGATAATTATTATAAGGTTTCTCTAAGGTATCTCTAATATACCTATAAAATTCTCGTGTCACGGTGTTTGTAACAAAATTCCTCCAAAACGGCTTGACCGATTCTTATGAAATGTGTGTATATTCAGTAGGTCTGAGAATAGGACGTAAACTATTTTTTATACCTTGAGTGATAAGGGTGGTCCACCTCAATTTTTTTTGGCCAAATTTTTTATTTTAATTTTTTTATGGTTCGGAATTAAAAATACATACAAACCTTATTAGTTTTTTTATAATATTTTATAAAAAATAAATAAACCTTATATAATATAAAATATTATAAAAAAGTACTCCAAGTCTATCTTAGTACATAGTTTCATCAAAATCCGTTCAACCGTTTGGCGTGAGGGAGAAACAAACATACACACTTTCATATATATAATAATAATCCAATTTTATCGCCATAATGAAATAACATTTCCTAAGAAATTGCCATCGTAAATATTAACTATGTGTAACAATAACATATAAAACAAATAAGATAAGTTAAAGTAGACGGCTGACACTTTGCAAAGTACAGCTACCATTATTTCTTACAGTCATAATAGCATCTCTGGAGAAATTATGAAACCTATTACTGAGTATTGCAACAAGTCTAGATATCAGCGAGGAACTAACTATAGAATAAGTTTTGCACCACCAGTGGAGAAATGTTATTTGAAATATGACAATTGTAAAGGATTCTTATAAATTTATATTATTACTAGCAGAACCCGCGGAACGAAAAACTATAAAAAAACTAAAATGATAGGTTTCATATAAACTTTTATCCGCTATTTTACCCCTTTATGAGATAAATTTCGAAAAATACTAAAACACGTATTTAATTAATTGTAGTGAAGAGTATTTATACCAAGTTTCAAGTAATTCTGATCATAAATATTTTTTTTCGATTGTATTATGACGTGTTTTCCCGTGGGAAAGAGATAATCTCCCGCAGTAAAAAGTAGCCTATGTCATTCTCCAGCCCTACAATTATCTCCACACAAAAAATCACGCCAATCCGCCAAGCCGTTTCGACATGAAAGAAAGACAAACGACCAAACAAACAAACACTCTTTCACATTTATAATATTAGTATGGATATTTTATTATTTTGTACTGGAATTAACCGACTGTTACATTAAAAGGGTAGTGTTTTTTGAGTGATCTGGTACGCTTTAGAGCCTTAAAAATGGATTTTATGCGAATACGGTATTGGTACATTTTATTTCAGGAAAGTGATAAAGAATATATTATATACTAGCGACTCAGCCTCGTTTCGCTCGAGTTCGTCTTTAGGTACGTTTTAACGGATACTATAGATTTCTCAGAGATGAGATATTTTCCCGCAGTAATAAGTATCCTATATGTTGATTCTGATAACCAGCTATTATCATACCAAATTTCATCAAAATCTGTATAGTGGTTTTCTCGTCATACGTTCCCAGAAAGACGGACAAAAATTCTAAAAACTATAGATTCGGCTATTTTAATAAGATTTTCCAAAAAATATTTTATGTACAGATTTGACTCAGTAGATTTTTATTACATATTGTATAGATAGTTGTATATATGTAGGTATAATAAATACATATGGTTTTAAATTTAATAAAAAGACATGGTACAAAAATAATTTGTTATTGTAACTTGATGGATATTTAAATTTAATAACGTTATGTTATTATTATTATAACACAATTTACATTTTTTTTTAATTAATATGTTAAAAGTAGAAATTCTTTCAGGTTTTCCAGAAACTACGACTCTGGACAGTTTGACGGCGGCTACGTATTCCACGCATATGAGGAACCTGTCGCATCACGCGTCTAATGCATTGAAGGAAATTGTATGTATATTTGTATATGGGCCTTAATTCTCCTATTCCTAAATTAATTAGCTTCTATTTATATTTATTTATATGTTCTATATATATATATATATATATATATATATATATATATATATATATATATATATATATATATAATATATTTTCCTATAGTCTATTAGACTTTGAAAGTGTATGTATGTATGTATGTATGTATGTATGTATATAAGTATGTATTCATACAAGTACACCGCCTACCATTTTTATATACTGATTCCTCTACCCTAAGATTGCCTGGAAGAGATCGCTTCAAGCGATAAGGCCGCCTGCTGTGCATCTTTTTATTGTTATGTATTTCACTTCTTTATTTATTTCTTGTGTGGTGTGCAATAAAGTGTTCATTATTATTATTTATTATTAAAGTGAAAAGCATGAGGAATGCACGTTGTGCACTTTCATATTTTCTGTACAGATGGCTAGTCTCAGAGAAACTGGCCGCCGCGACCGTTTGTCAAGTGTTCACTATTATTATGTATATATAATAATTTTTGAATTAGTTAGTCTGTGGGCTAGCATGTACAGTTGCAAGTCGTGTAGTTCGAGTTCTGGGTCGGCCCAAAGCAGTTTGGGTTTTTTTTTCATATTTTTTTTCATTTCATTTCATTCAAAGCGTGGAGTTTGGAGGTTAGCAGAGTGTACAGCTCTGTGCCTTGGAGAGCACGTTACACTCTCATAAATCATGTCGAGTTATAGTTTCATAGAAATACGTGAGGTAACGCTATTTATAGTGCACTAGCATTGCCCGTGGATCCGCTCGCGTTCAGATGACCAAAAAGCATATTCTTAGGTTTTACATATTAGTATACTCTTACAATGCAGTTTTTGTATTTTTTCTCAGAAATGAGATATTTTACAGTGGTAAAAAGTAGTAGTAGTAAGTAGTTTTCTCGTGATGCGGTAACAGACAGACAGACAGACAGACAAAAATTCTAAAAACTTTAGATTCGGAATCTGTATCGATAATAATGTCTATTTCAATTAGATTTTCAAAAAAATATTTAATGTACGGATTCGGCTTAGTTACAATTTTATTATATGTATAGATTATTCCAATAAAATAAATGTCAATAAAGAATGTAATTTTAGGACACTATAGCACCAAATTGTTATAATTCGTTCATCCAAAATTCAAATCGCTAGAACAATCAGAAAGTGGAGTAAAACAAAATGAAAATGGAAATACAAGAAGATATAATGAGATTTTTTTCTTTTCCTTAAAACCGATCTTCATCTTTAGAGTTGCGCTCTAAAAGTTCCAATCGGGACCCATTATTTAACATAACAGTTAGCGTTCGTCTGATCAAGTACAGTGCGATCATTCACTTACGACTACCCGCGAAACAAAAAAAAAAAATTAAAATGGTCAAATGTATAAAATGTACTAAAACAATTACAAAGAAACTACCTGGATTGCAGTGTGGCAAATGTAATAAGTGGTTACATGCGTTATGTGCCGGTCTTACTTCTAATCAATTGATCACCCTGAACTCCACCGAGGCTATCGACTGGAAGTGTAGAACTTGCGCGGAAGGAACTAAATCCAGGCGTCTGTCATGTATCATGCCTGATATCGAGGATGAAGGCGACGATAATACCGACCCTGAGTTTCTGATCCCAGACAACAACATGACGCAGCAAATTTTACGGGAAATAAGGAACGAAATTAAGGACATTGTTCAGTTTGAATTACAACGTTCGCTTAAGTACTACTCCGACAAGATAGACGACTATGAGGAGCGCATGAAATTATATGAAACCAGGATCAAACGGTCGAAAATCAGTGCGTTGATTTGAAAAATAATCTCAAAAACATGTCATTAAAATATGACGTCCTTGAAGGGAAGTGTAACCAATTAGAGCAAGCACAACTATCCCAACAGCTGGAAGTCTGCGGAGTCAAGGAAGTGGAACGGGAAGACACGATGGAAATAATAAAGAACGTGGCATCTAAAATTAACACCGACATCTCCGACGTCATCAAAGCATATAGAAAGAAGGTACCAGCCCACAAGCGTACTGAATCTAAAAGGATTGAATCTCCACACAACCCCATTACCGTTATTCTGAGGAACGGTGTGCGTAGTGCTTGGCTGGAAGCGAGTAAGAAGGTAAAGTTCTCAGCTCGTGATATAGGAGCGGAAGGTGAACAAAATCTATACCTACGTGAGTCTTTAACACCGGCTACTGCATACCTCCTGTGGAAGACAAAATCAGAACTAAAGGTACGTCATGGTTTTAAATATGTATGGTGCAAGAATGGAACTGTCTTAGCGAGGAAATCCGAAAATGAGAAAATCATTTCTTTTCACTCCTTACAACAGCTGGAAGTGCATACTCGTAAACTAGAACAGTTAAATTAAATTTTTTATACTCTAATATTTGTACTATCAATATGTATACACTTTTGTTTAAAAAATGGATGACACAATTTGTGACTCTAAAGAATTAACTTGTATTAACTTAAACGATTTTACAAATAAATTGCCGAATTACGACAAACCGCTATTGCTATTTCATGTAAACATAAGATCTACTCTAAAAAACTTCGCTGAACTCGAATACATATTATTTAATTCCGATAAAACCATTCATTTGTTGATTTTAACTGAAGCTAACATAAAAGAGGACTGTGTTAATATGTACGAACTCCCAGACTACACAATGTACTACGAACTTAGGCAATACAGAAAAGGTGGAGGTTTATTACTTTATGTTCATAATTCATTATCCTTCATTAGACATAGTTCTTCCTTTAAATACTTCGAATGTATTACCGGAGAGTTAATTCTAGACTTTAGTTATAAATTAGGAATCTGTGCAATCTATAGACCACCGGATTATAGTAAAGAAGGATTTATTCATGAACTTCTATCCTTTGTCTCAAAATATAACTCAAAAAATAATTATGTTATTATTGGAGATATAAACTTAGACATTAAAAAAGTAGCCCTATTACAAATCTTTACTTAAACTCCCTATCCGAAATAGGCTTTTACTCGGGTATAAATCAATATACACGAATAGAAAAACGCATGGACATAATTTGTAAATCTTGTGTTGATCATGTATTTATTAGAAATATCACTAATTGTGAAATATATACCGGCGTTGTAAAAATCGTCCTAGCCGATCATTGTATAACATGTTGTGCGATCTTCGACGCGCGGCTCGGTACCGATGACTCACGCCTGCCTCAGCTGATTACGAGAATAAATAATAACAATCTGCGAAACAAGTTATGCAGTGTTGACTGGAGCGAACCGCTTAGTCTTAGTGACCCTAACGATATTTATAATTTTATTTACAAGCAATTTAAAAATGCATATGAAACGAGTAAATATTGTGTAGAATATAAAAGTAAAAGAAAAATTTGTATATGGGCAAACAAAAAGTTAAAGTATATGTGTAAAAAACGGGACGAACTTTATAATATTTGGCGTGCCGATGAAAAAAATTCTGAAAAGAGATTGTTATATAATTCGTATAGAAACAAAACAAACAAGTATACTCAATTCTTAAATAATCGTAAAATTAAGAATGATATCTGTAAAAACTTTAAAAATCAACGAGAAATTTGGAAAATAGTTAACAATCTTACCGGAAAAATTGCTAAATGTATTGACGATGTAATTATTAAGCATTTTAAGCAGGATCCGCTTAGTCTATCAAATAATTTTGCGACAGAATTCGACAATAATGTGAAAAGTATATGTATCGATTGTGATTTGAAAATGTTAAATTCTACCTCGTATGAAAATATACCAGAAACTTCAATCAGACTAGAGCGAGCACGTGAAGAGGATGTCAAACGTATAATTTTGCGTATAAGTGACAAAAAAAGTCCAGGTTATGACGGAATTCGGGCAAGCGATATAAAATATACCTCCTCACATCTAGTACCAGTCATTACTCACCTCATAAACCAGTGCATAGCTACATCAATTTACCCGGATATGTTGAAAATTGGCGTAATTCGGCCGATTTATAAGAAGGGAAAGCATGACGATTATAATAATTACCGTCCCATCACTATTTTGTCATGTGTAGATAAAATTATAGAAAGGTACCTAGGGGATAAAATAAATAAATATTTAGCTCAACATTCAATCATTAATAATAAACAATATGGTTTTCAGAAAAATAAAAGCACCACAGAATTACTAAGAAAATTTACTAACGAAGTTAACACGCATTTGGACAAAAAACTTCACGTGCTCGTTTTACTCATAGATTTTAGCAAAGCCTTTGATGTATTAAATTACAATATTTTATTCGATAAACTTTCGCGGGGTGGTATACAGGGTCCTTTACTGAAATTATTAAAAAATTATCATCGTAACAGAAAAACCACAGTAAGCCTATCCAAACAATGTAGTAACTTAATATCAACCAAACGGGGCACAGCACAGGGCTCAATTATCGGCCCTACTGAGTACTTGTTATATGTGAACGACATGGTTAATATTATAAATGAGGGCACTGTATACCAGTTCGCGGATGACACATGTTTAGTGGTAGCTCAAAGAACGGTCAAACATGCCCAGGAAAAACTACAAAATAACTTTAATCAATTATGTAAATGGGCACACGATGTAGGTCTGATAATAAACGCACACAAAACGAAGTTGATACATATTCACTCGTCGCACAATCAGACAGACATCAGACCTACCATCGTGGCTCACAACCACTCTTGTTTGCACTCTTCATGCAGTCTGAATTGTTCGTGTGTAGCTGTTGAACAAGTGAAAACACATATGTACATAGGCTTAATGATCGATGACAGATTTACCTGGGGCCCGCATACAGATCACGTTTGCTCAAAATTAAGATCATTATTAAGTAAACTAAGTATACTCAAAGCCAAATTACCATACCAGACACTAAGGCTCCTGTACGTGGCCTTGGGTGACTCGGTTATCGATTATGGTGTTAGTAGTTACGGCAGATCCTGCAAATCAAACTTGGAAAATATTTACAATTTACAGTTAAGATTATTAAAAACAATTGTACCTAAACGCATACTTAACTATTATAAGAACAACTATATTCAACTATTTCGGCATTGTAATGTTATGAACATATATGATAAAGTTAAATTTTCTATTCTAACTCAAATTAATAATACAACCTTGTTAAATGAAAAACTTAGACCTTTAGGCTTACGTCAACTTGATTTAAACCATAAATACCACTTACCAAAAACTAACAATAAGTATGGAAAGAGAACTGATAACTACTTAATACCTGAATATGTTAACGAACTGCCCAGAGAACTGCAAGAAATGTATAAAAGTACCACGAAAATCAAATCACTTTTTAAAAAATATTTTTTACAAAAACAAACCGACTAAACTGAATGACTCTCTGTACCCAGATAAACCCGCGAGGTTTTCGTGGTACTTAAATTGCAAATTATAATGTATTTGTTATGTATTGGCCAATAAATAAAAAAAAAAAAAACAGTCTTTTTATCCGTGTGAATATCGTATTTTTAAATGGATAAGTCATTATAGATAGTTGAAAATTAAGTATAATAGATTCTAGCTAACTTATAATCGAGCTTTTAAGTTACGTATTAACATTTAGTATGGATTTCTCAGATATGATATATTTTACCGCATTCAAAAGTATCCTATTTGTTGAAACGGATAACCAGTTATCATTATACCAAATTTCATCAAAGTCTGTCCAGTGGTTTTCTCGTGATGCGGTCAGGGACAGACAGACAGACAGACATAAATTCTATTAAAAATAAGGTCTGACAGTTCTTATATAAATAACTAGCATTACTCGCGGCTCCGCCCGCGCGTTTTGATGACCAAAAATCAAATTCTTAGGTTTTACATATTAGTATATTCTTACAATGCAGTTTTTGTATTTTTTCTCAGAAATTAGATATTTTTCCACGGTAAAAAGTATCCTATATGTTGACCCGGATAACCAACCATCCATCACCATACCAAATTTCATCAAAATCCCTCCAGTGGTTTTTCTGTGATGCGGTAACAGACAGACAGACAAAAATTCTAAAAACTATAGATTCTGCCTCTGTATCGATAATAATGTAGATTTCAATAAGATTTTCCAAAAAATATTTAATGTATAGATTCGGCTTAGTTACAATTTTATTATATGTATAGATAACACGCAATAACATCAATATGTCGTATGTATAATGGTACAGAACCCTCATACGCGAGCTCATCTCACACTTGACGATTTGTATAGATGAACGCACGAAGGCAACATTTCTTTGAGTCCCCTTCAAAACTGTTTGATTACACTTCCTTATATTGTTTTATAAGGAAGTTGTTATTTTCATTTGCCTAAGTACGAGTAATTAAATTTTGATAGCTTATGTTGCTTCTTCATAAGTTGGAAAGTGCGAAGAATTCATTTATTCATATATCGTATCTTTTATTGATTTTGATACTTTTCGAATCATAAATTATCTGTATGTATTACTAAAAATCTCATTCGTTGATAAAATTACAGTCAAAAAACATATTTTTTCCCATAATAATACGAATATTAGTTAGGATAGTTATTTGTATTTTTATATATATTTGATTGACAACACATGTGGTTCAGTTTGTAGTGACTATACTTGCTGTGCCCGCGGTCGCGGGTTTGAGTCCCGCTGGGCATTCATTTGTATAACGAGCCCGAATGTTTCTATTCCAGTCATTTATTTATTTATTTATAAACTACTTAGCATAATTTATTGAATGTAGGATAAAATCAGTACGTTTATCCGTACGTCTATTCAAATATTAAAGCTTTAATTTCAGGACGTAACCGACGAGTTAGTAGTGTTGCGGTTAGTAACGAAGAAATCAGAGGCTGTGGTAGCGCCCGATCACGAGTTCCATTTGATAGTGGTCATGAGACGAACGTAAATAAATAGATGTGGGAGCAGATTTAAACAAGATGACATTGTATAATCGCCAACGCTTATATATAAATAAAAAATATTTTTTTGTATGTCTGTATTCTATAAATCATAGAGCATCTAAACCGTTTACCAATTGTGATGAAACTTGGGTGACTTTTTCTGCGTATTCTCGCGAAAAAGTTTTTTTTGCGTGTTTATCCTCTAGGGACATATCCAAGCGAAGGACGATAAGTTGCTGGTACAAAATTTTATACACGTAATCATGTATGGTCAGAAAATTCATCATCATTGCCATCATATTTATTTTATTATAAATCGACTTCCAAATCATTTTAAAATATTGTACCTTCTGGAGGATCTTCCTTTTCTTAAATTTTTATTGGGACAAACCTTAGTCTATTTATTACAAAAGAATAACTATTGATTCAGAATAACCGAAGATATCGCGTAACACGCACATACAAAATACATACATATACGCGAATAGATTACCTTTTCTTCTGAAGTTGGTCAATAATATATTTTTAGCTTTCTACTAGTGATGTAGATTGTAGAAATTTGTTTAAGACGATAAAGTTGATGTTTATTGTACAAATTATTGTAATTTTTTTAAAATTATTTGATAAATAATGTTGAGTTAATATAATATTATATTATGCTTTTTCCAAAGCGCATATTTTATCTTTTAATTGGACAATTAAAATGTTAATATTAATTAAAAATGTTTTATTATTTGTACGGTTCTTCAAGAGTAGCTCAATTTAAAAGTTTGCCACTTAATAGTTTGGAAAATCAGTTACATTTTTAATCAATCGAAATTGTAATTTAAGAAATTGCATGTACAAACTTACTTTTGGATCAGAAAGAGACAGGTTATTATTTTGTATGTTGGATAAGAAAGGGATAGCAGGATAGAGAATAGAAGCTATATGAGTTTTTGATACGATTTGCTATAAGTGCTGAAGCAGTTTTAGAGTAGGTAAGTATGCATATAATAAAGTTTTCGTACCTTCTGGGAAGTCCAACAAGATGGCCATCTGCCTCGCATTGCCGGCGAAAGCAGCCAGGTGCAAGGGAGACCTCCCAAGCCTATCCTGTCTGTTCTTCTCGGCTCCGAACTTGACCAGGAGTTCCAAAGCATCACCCCCCATCAATGCTGCCATGTGGCACGCTGATACGTGGTCTAAACGACATGTTGCGTTTGAGTTTGCACCGGCTTTTAGCAATCTAAAATGTTAATGTATGTAGTTTTACTAATATTATAAATGTGAAAGTTTAGATGTTTGTATGTTTGTTACTCAATCACGCCAGAACGGCTGAATGGATCTGGTTGAAATTTGGTATAGAGATAGATTATAGTCTGGAATAGCACATAGGCTACGTTTTATCTTTATACGTCTAGATATTAGGTGGAATGTTGAGAAGATGCGGTAGAGGGTAGGCCTAAATTATATATATATATATATATGTTCTGAAATATCAAAAATTCCATCATTGTGAACAATTACAGCTCTTTATTTGTAAACAATATATTTGCGTGCATAAAATTATTTGTTGCAAGCATCACGTCACCTTTACAAAGAACTTCATAACCTTGAAATGAATATTAAACGTGGTGTTAAACTAAAAAAAAACTATTTAATTTTTGTTGTAAAGAAATCAGAAATTTCTGTTAAAGTGGGAAAATTTTAAACCGGTTTGTGCGTTTTATTTTCTTTTAAAAAAATTCATATACTATTATAGTAAGAATACTGTACATGGAATATTGGAATTTTTATTGCCGCTATATTATTTTATGTGTTTTATAGTGAAATAAAACATGATTTTAATTCTCTCAAAAAACCTATCAGCGTGAAACAACATTTTTAAATTAAAATATGTTACTACTCTTCCGGAATCATATATCCATACTTTAATATTATAAATGTGAAAGTGTGTTTGTTTATTTTTTTTTGTTTGTTTCTTTGTTTGTTTGTTTGTTTGTTTGTTTGTTTGTCCTTCTTTCACGTCGAAACTGAAAGACGGATTGGCGAGATTTTGTATGGAGATAGTTGGAGCGCTGGAGAGTGACATAGGCTACTTTTTATCGCGGGAGATTGTCTAATTCAATCTAATTGGAAAACACGTTATAATACAATCTAAAAAAATATTTATGATCAGAATTACTTGAAACTTGGTATTAATGCTCTCCAATAAAATTAAATAAATACATATTTTAGCATTTTTCGAAATTCATCCTATAAGCGGGTAAAATAGGAGATGAAAGTTTCAATGAAACTACCTTTTTAGAGATTTTTTTGTTGTTTTAGCGCGAGCGAAGCCGCGGGTTCAGCTAGTTTTTTATAAAATCAAAAAGGTTTTTACATTATATATTTCAATCTGTTGTTTTGTTAGAAGGTATTATTCAGTGACTACTCCACCAGTATTCTAATTTAATGGTCATAACTGTAGCAATAAACTAAAACGTTGCTATAATTCATACTCAAGTACTCCGTTATTGGAATAGTTACAGCAGATCATGTCTCCAATGAGATCACATCAAACTCCAGCACATTGTTATCAAGTACATTGTACCATCAAGTATTCTAGGATTTCAGTAATATTATACTAGCAGAACCCGCGGCTTTGCTCGCGCTAAAACTATAATAAAACTCTGAAAAGGTAGATTTCATACAAACTTTCATCCCCTATTTTACCCCCTTATGGGATGAATTTCGAAAAAATTTAGAATTTTTCGAATACGTATATATTTAATTGTATTGAAGAGCATTAATACGAAATTTCAAGCAATTCTGACCATAAATAAGTTTTTGGATTATATTATAACGTGTTTTCCCGTGGGAAGGAGATAATCTCCCGCGGTAAAGTAAGCACGGTAAGTAGCCTATGTCACTTTCCAACCCTCCAACTATCTCCACACAAAAAATCACGCCAATCCGTCACTCCGTTTTGACGTGAAAGAAGGACAAACAAACAAAAAAACAAACACACTTTCAAATTTATAATATTAAGTATGGATTACTATATATTCTGAGATTGGCAATATATAAACTACATTTTCTTTGTTAAGACTTCTCTAAGTACTCGTATAGTAATTCATACTTTCAGCTAACTAATATTATAAATGTAAAAGTTTGGATGTTTGTTACTCAATCACGCCAGAACGGCTGAATGGATCTGGATGAAATTTGGCACAAATATAGATTTTAGTCTAGAATAATAGGTTACTTTTATCTCGGAAAAATATACGGTTCCCGTGGGATAGATTTGTTGAGGGCGAGCCGCTAGTATTTTAATATTATAAACTAGCGGCTTACCCTCGCTTCGCTCGAGTTCGTCCCTAGGTACGTTATATAAATATAAACAGTTATTAGCCAGCGCTAGCCAAAAAAAAATTTTTTCTTGATTTTTTCTTATGTTTTAATAGTTATTCTGCTATTTGGAGCGGAGACAAATCCAAAAAATCAAAAACCATAAAAATCAGTCCAGCAGTTCTCGAGTTTTAAGTGTTGTAGAAAACCCGACTTTGTTTTATATATATAGATAGATGTGAAAGTAATTCTGTGTGACCTTTTTACACATAAACCGCTGCACTGAACAGATTTCGATGAAATTTGGCAAGGGTAGGTTTTATACATAGATTGCATCTTGGGATCGGATAAAGGCTACCCTTGATCCCGCCTTCCTTATCACGTGGTGAAGTCGTTAGTCTTAGAAAAAAAAATCAACTAAGGATAATAGTTCAGAAACTTAAGATATTAGTTTACGGTCTTCTATACATATAATAAAATTGTAACCAAGCCGTATCTGTACAATAAATATTTTTTGAAAAACCGTATGGACGAACTCGAGCGGAGCGAGACTGTGTCGCTAGTTGTCTATAAATTAGGCCTCGTTCCGAATTTAAAGTAAACGCGTTGACCCGTTACAACGTGAAAATTTAATAAGCATAGTAAAATTCCTTGACAGACTATCGTATTAATAACATACTCGTTTTACACACGGTTCCACTTGCATGTTAAGCAGGTTTGGGATAAAATGTAGCTTATTCGTATTTGACGACACGATTGGCTCAGTCTGTAGTGACCCTACTTGTTGTGCCAGCGCTCGCGGGTTCGAGTCCCGCTGGGGGCATTTGTTTGTGTGACGAGCACGAATGTTTGTATCCAGTCATGGGTGTTTATATTTATAATATGTATGTATTTATATATATGTAGTGTGTCAACTATCTGGTATCCATAACACAGGCCTCGTAGCTTGTGTGTAATATCCCAACATATTTAGTCTCGTCCCCATGATATAATCTATGGCATTGCCAAATTGCATCGGACTCTTCGGCGGTTTAAGCGTGGAAAGTTAACAAACAGACAGTTTGGATGTGTTATATATAAAAAGTACAATATACTTATATACATTTATATATTATACATAGTCTTTATAGAACTAGAACTTGTTTTAACTATGGACTAATAAATCTCAAATTATTTGACACAACTTGCGCGCGCTTATCACATGCTGTTGGCACTATGGCAGAAACATTTTCGGTTGCAACCAAAGTTTTGCCGCAATCAGATGAATGGTATTCTAGCACATACATTATACAATATACATAATATTTGTATATTACAAAGAAAACAACATATTAATGTGGGAAGAATGTGTTAAATAGTAATGTCTTATCTGTGAAGTGTGAATGAAAGAAAGAACGAGTGAAAGGGGCAGAGTGTGTTCGGACCTGTTTAGCCCTGGATTTACATCAGGGACACTCGGGGCTAGTGCCCAGGGCGGCAAATGTTTAGGGGCAACAAAATTCGGAGGGTAGGAAAAATTTTTCTTCGCGTTATCAAAAACGCTTTCTTTATTTTTCAAAAAAATTATTAATTAAAAAAAAAAATAACTAGTACATTTTTGGAAAAATTGAAAGCCTCTATAAATTATTTGTTTGCAGTTTACAAAAAATAATAATTAAAAAAAACTTTATCAAAACTTTACCCATTTTATTCAATAATTTCGATAATAGGGCGGCATTTTTGACTATGCCCAGGGGCGGCGTTAAGGTTGAATCAGGCCTTGGCCATGTTTGATTTTGGAATGAGAGTTGAGTTTGAAAGAAGGAAGCGAACTGCATGTGCATTGTGAGAAGACGTTATATAAAAAGTAAGAATCGTATTAAGGTGATACACATTTTCATTGCTGGTATCCTCAACCCCACATTCATTTTAATAAGCCCCGACGCAAAAAGAGGGGTGTTAGAAGTTTTACGTCGATGTCTGCCTGTTTGTGTGTGTGTCTGTCTGTGGGATCGTAGCTCTCAAACGGATGGACCGATTTCGATGCGGTTTTTTTCATTTGAAAGCCAGTTTCCTTGCGGTGGTTCTTAGCTATGTTTGGTTAATATCGGTACAGCGGTGTAAGAGTATTAGCTCTTTTCCAATATGATGTAAGGCGTTTTGGCGTATGATTACTCGATTAAGTGCTTCACGCGTGCCAGTGTAATCGTTAAATGAGAATTAATTTGCGTAGTTGGTTTTTTAAATTTTTAATTTATAATTATATAAGTAGATGTTCAAGTTTCATTCCATTATTTATCTTAGAATCCAATGGAACAAAGTTTCTAAATCAATTTGTGCAACCGAGTATCGAGATTGAATCGAGTTTTAAGCTATCAATTTGATAGGAAGCTATCACCGTTCAGATAAACTAATTGCCATCTATACAATGGGGAATAGCTGAATTGTTTGCTCATAGAATAATCCCTGGGATAATTCTGTGTTACATTGTTTGACTTTAGGAAATGATGAAAATCTGTCAGCAACACTGTCATAGTCTTTTTAACCGACTTCCAAAAAGGAGGAGGTTCTTCCTATTCGTCGGAATCTTTTTTTTAAATATATGTTCACCGATTACTCGAAGACGCCTGAACCGATTTGGATTTTTTTGTTTCAAAGGGTATACTTCCCAGGTGGCCCCATACAAATTTTATCCAAATCGGTCGAGTGGTTTTTAAAAAAAATCAAGAATTATTTTTTTTTTAATAAATTGTTTAATCGAATATGTTGTTAAAAAACTTTCTTCTTGCAAATTACCTGCTTATTACGTCTACACTAAAAATGTTATAACTAAACGGGGGTTTTCATTTAGAATCGATACCTAATCAGATATTTTCGAAGTCGGTGCCAGTCGATGCAAAGCAAATCTAACATATTTCGATACGTAAAATACATATTTACTTATTACATATTCATATCTTAAAATATTGTCTGCAGGCACCGACTTCGAAAATACACGAGTATATTTTTTTAAGTTTTTATTAAATAGTTACAAACTACCTTTCGACTTCCTTAACATTATGAGACTCGATGGCTTCGAGGAGTTCAGTGTTCAGTCTTCTCAGTCTTCTGTCACTTCGTCTCCATTTCTTCGGCCATTCACCACCTGAGTCGGGAACTGGCGTAGTATCTGGTGTGGATATTGTCGAAGAAGGTTCCAATTGTAGTTTTTGAAAAAGTGGTGAGCTGAAAATATTTTGTTTATGATTTTTATTTGAGATGTATGTATAGAATTTTAAGAATGGAATGGAATTAAAAATATGAATAAAAGAAAAGAACGATGTTGTATCATAATGACGACAGGACGAAACGCGTGAACATTGTATTATCTGATTTTAGAAGAATAAATAGTAATTATTATACTATAAAAGCTTTCGTTAATATCCCCGGATCCTGTATTAATAACATTTTTTAATAAACAGTTACATCAATTTTAAATAAAAAATCAAACTTACAGACTGCTGTTATTGTTCACAATAAGTTTCTTGGGTCTGATGGGTCGTGTTCTATCTCCATTGTTCAGAGGTATTAAGGGTACTAAGTTTTCATCCTCTTCAGGTATTCCCTGCTCTATATCTGGAAGGAATAAATATCCTGATTAGTTTATAATATGTATTTACTTCTAGTAACTTTGCTGAGTTTTTCAAGTGTCCACGTGATTGTTGAAATTTAAATACATTATATAGTTAGCAAAAATTACACAAAAATCTGTAATTCTAGTAAAATATAAACGTAATTGTTTATTTTTGGAAAATTAACATTGCTAGCCGGAAATTGATTCAAGATTCAATGAATATCTTACTGATAAAACCACTGATAAAAACCACTTGAAAAATGCTTCTATTATAAATGAAACAATAAACTAAAAAATACCTTATTTTTATCACAAAAAATACGTGCTTATTTAAAATAATCATACTGGCAGAATGTTATTATTAGAAGTTGCTCTTCTTCTTGTTCTAGTATTTATGTTACAGTCAAAACTATTTTTTAGTCAAAATTACTATTGACTAAAGAGTTTGGTCAAAAGTAGTTTTGATTGCAGGCCTTGGTTTAAGACTAGGTCTAGGTCTAAGACTGAATCCGGCACTAGTGATATCGGTGAAAACTCTTAAAAAGTTAAGGTAATGTAGGTTGAAGGTTACTCGGAAGAACTCTTTCTTTCTTTCTAGGTTAGGTTAGAACATTGATTAGAACATTGACTACAACGCCGTGAACGACTAGTTCACTTTTTTTTTTAAAAATGCCTGCAGTCAAAACTACTTTTGACCAACCTTCTTAGTCAAAAATAGTTTTGACTGTAACGTATATAATTATGTTTATTTACTGATTAAATATTGGAAATTATCGAATTATATAAATAAATTAATATATTGTACCATTTTTTACTGGTAATGCTAACTTACTTAAAAGACGAAACCTACATTTGTTCCAGACTAGTTAATTCGATTTATTGAACAAACCTCTTTTATTGCTATATTTTAAAAACTAAAATTAAAAATTCACTTAATATTTCGAAGATCTTTTTACATATCGTAGTCAATAGCTGAAAGTTTGAAAGTTTACGACCATTTATCACAGCTATAGGTATCAGTGGAAGGGTGTAATTATAGCAGAGGCAAGCCGTTCCAAAAATATACAATTTTGAAATATTGCAACATATATACATTTAAAAAATTAAATGTATGTAAAATTATAGCGAAATAATTTTAAGGTAAGACGTCTTGGAACATTCGCCACTATTAGGTACGTTTTCGGCCCTCATCGGGTAAATGTTCTGAACAGCCTATAAAATTTTATACAGAAAACTGAGGTTTTCTCGAAATGTAAAGTAGATTTAAGACAGGCAAAAATTTTACCCTCCAGTGAAAGACCTTTTTATAATATTAGTTCTGCCGTTCACAAATTGCTTTTTTAGAAGTCGGTTAAAAAGTAAGTCTATATCAGTTTGCCTTTGATAGTCTCCATTAAAAAGGTCGCTTATTTCACTTTAAAGACTTATTTAAAAAAAAAACGCTAGCTAATGCGTACTTAAAGTTATGGGATAGATATGGAAATTATACGGGTTAAAAATCAATGATACGTTTCTCCGAATCAGAAGGAGTAATAAACAAATATAAATATAAAATGTTTACATTGTGTTCTGTAAAAAAGTTAGAATCGTATATTGATAAGAATGATATCTCCCCTTCTTACAAAAATTCCAAATATTGTGATTTTAGGTATTTTAAAGCTTGAACTCGTTTGAACTTGTAATGTAAACGGTGACTGATAAATAATAAACATTTACTATATATTTATATCTATTTAGGGTTTATCTGTATATCTGTTTGTTTTATACGCAAAAAGTACGGAATGGATAACTATTTTACCGCAACCGAACGAAACGAGGGTAAGTCGCATGTATCTAATATAAAGAAATGAATAAATATATTGGGATATTAACACACATCACCATCTAGTTCCATGGTAAGTTACGAGGCCTGTGTTATAGATAACAGATAGTTGATACACTACACATACCTACATATATAACTTTTAAATACATACATATTATAAATATAAACACCCATGACTGGAGTACAAACATTCGTGCTCATCACACACAGGAATGCCCCCAGCAGGATTCAAACCCGCGACCACTAGCACAGCAAGTAGGGTCACTACAAACTGAGCCAAACGTGTCATCGAACGTTACGGCCCATTAAGAACGGAGTAATTACACCGTTTTTGTATAGCTCTAGTTATGGGACGACGAGTATAATTTTGGTGCGTAGTTAAGAGAGTACAACGGCTCTACATCAAAATAGTATTCACAAGCAATGTCATCTATACTTATTATAAAAATAAGTCCCCCGGCCGCGTCTTTCTGTCCTCCTGTCTGTCCTCCTGTCTGTCTGTACGCGATAAACTCGAAAACTACTGAACGGATTTTTATACGGTTTTCAACAATAGAAAGAGTAATTCTTGAGGAAGGTTTAGGTATATAATTTATTATGCTTTTATGTAAATTAGCTGAAATACGGCGACAAATGTTGAAGAGGTCGCAAAAAATCTCGCCAAATGGGAACTTTCCACGCGAACGCAGCGTAAACTAGCAAAGATACAGTTAAGTAATGTACTAGAGAATTCAAAATCTATAAAAATGCTACAAAAAAGTCCGCGATAGCATATCTCTATCTCTTACGGTTGACTTACAATAACCACTTTTATGTTAACATTTTTAATTAAAAACATTACGTTATTTTCAAAGTTATTTTCTTTAGTTCGGTATTAATCCTTATCCAAATGAATATTTTAGTTAGCTTAGTCATTTAATGCAGATTAAAATTGCTCTTTACACTAAATCAATCAGATGAATAGTTTTTGAGATATCGTTGTTAGAAGTAATTAGTAGCGAAACATTTTTAATGCTTGGCGAGCATTGAGATGCCTACGGCGAGTCCATCCCCTCTGCCCCGCATCGCTCGACCGCCTGCTCAAGCTATATAAACCGGGCGATGTAGCGCGCGATCCTAGGATACTTTTTACCGCGGGAAAATATCTTATTTCTGAGGAAAAATACAAAAACTGCAATGTAAGAGTATACTAATATGTAACACCTAAGAATTTAGTTTTTGGTCATCTGAACGCGGGCGGAGCCGCGGGCAATGCTAGTATTATATATTTACAGGGTTACATTTTCGGGTTCCTGCCTAGGTATGTTTTAATTGTTAGTATGGAATAGATAGACTATATATTATATGATATAGAGCCTTATAGTCTTCCTCAATAAACGGGCTATCTGATGCAGAAAGATTTTTTCAAATCGGATTAGTCGTTCCTGAGATTAGCGCGTTCAAACAGACAAACAAACTCTGCCTACCAAAAACCAAATTCTTAGGTTTTACATATTAGTAGGTATTCTCTTACACTGCATTTTTTGTATTTTTTCTCAGAAATGAGATCTTTTCCCGCGGTAAGTATCTTATATGTTGACCCGGATGACCATAACCGGCTATCACCATACCAAATTGCATCAAAATCCCACCGGGCCTCCAGTGGTTTTTCCGTGATGCGGTATCGATAATCATGTCTATTTCAATAAAATTTTCCAAAAAATATTTAATGTACAGATTCGACTGAGTTACAATTTTATTATATGTATAGATATATGCTTGTCGCATATAGAAGTAAATATTAAATCTTGTAAAAATCATTTCATTGAACTCTTTAATAATGTCCTTTATATAAATTTCCACTGAACCACAACGATCGATAGACATTTAAACTTCTTACAACTATAGTTTATACCTCTTGAGAATGACTCGGTAAATGCTCCTTTTCTCCACATTTATAACATAAACATCAACTTAAATTGCAGTTTCAGTACACATTTAACTACTTTTATATACTTTAAACACTCACTTCATATATCACTCTTTAAAATATATTAAGAAATATTTTTTTAAGCATTAGCAAGCCACCGTGTGACTGACTCAACTGTAAACAAACATTAAAAACGAGTGAAGGTCAAGATGTGCAAAGGCATACAACACTTTATTATCTGTCCTTGTTTTATCTATACATATAATAAAATTCTAACTAAGCCGAATCTGTACGTTAAATATTTTTTGGAAAATCTCATTGAAATAGACATTTATATCGATACAGAGGCCGAATCTATAGTTTTTAGATTTTTTGTCTGTCTGTCTGTCTGTCTGTTACCACATCACAGAAAAACCACTGGAGGGATTTTGATGAAATTTGGTATGGTGATAGCTGGTTATCCGGGTCAACATATAGGATACTTTTTACCGCGGGAAAATATCTCATTTCTGAGAAAAATACAAAAACTGCAATGTAAGAGTATACTAATATGTAAAACCTAATTTAGTTTTTGGTCTTCTGAACGCGGGCGGAGCCGCAGGCAATGCTAGTCTAATATATAGGTAAATATCTCGTTTCACGGTGTTTGTCGCACTCCTCCGAAACGGCTCGACCGATTTTGCTGATTTTTTTGGTATATTAGGTAGGTATGAGAATAGGTTGTAAAGTATTTTTCACCCTCCTACCACCACACCATTTTTAAATCGATTTTAGTATTTTTGTATGTTACGTTAGATTTCTTTGATAATCCATACTAATTAATATTATAAATGTGAAAATGTGTTTGTTTGTCCTTCTTTAACGTCAAAACAGAGTGACGGATTGGCGTAATTTTTTATGTGGAGATAGTTGGAGGACTGGAGAGTGATATAAGCTACAGTTTACCGAGGGCATTATCTCAATTCCACGGGAAAACACATTATAAGACAACCCAAGAAAATATTTATGATGAGAATAATTTGAAACTTTGTATTAATGCTTTTCAATACAATTAAATAAATGCATGTTCAGCATTTTTCAAAATTCATTCCATAACAGGGTAAACTAGGGGATAAAAGTTTGTATAAAACCTATCTTTTTAGGAGTTTTTTTTTGTAGTTTTAACTAACTATACTTGCGTGAAAGATAGGTAAGCTAATAAGCTCTTTATCATATTGATAATATTATCATTGTTTGTGATGATAATAATAAAAAGCTTAAGAAAATCT